CCATCAGTTCCTCTGATGATTCAGCGGGAGGCAAGCAAGTAATTCATTATCATGGGGCTTCTTGGAATGACACAAGCTACAAATCCTTTTCTTTCTTTTGTTCAGAGCCATCAAATCTGACTCAGTGCATGTCACACACACATACACAGCTTGCCTGTGAGCAAAGAAGATTTTAATATCCCCCAATAACACCTGTCCTGGGTAGTTTACCCAACCTTTTTGATTTATTGCTTCGAGTTCTGTGGATTGATTTGAAGAACCCACAATATCGCAGTCAAATACTGTTTTAAAGATGTTTGGCTTATGAACTTGCACTAACAAAAAGTATGCCTTCTGTCACATGAAAATGCTTGAATATGACAATTTTCTTTATATTCACCACATAGAATCACTTGACTTCAGTAAAATGACTCTTCCATTACTTAATTTGTCTTCCTAGAATGTGTCTGTGGCAGGGACACTTTACCTGGGCAGCAATGGAAGCAGAGACACAGTTGATGAAAGCAGCCTTGTGGCCATCACAGTTCCTGGCTACCTGGGACACTTTTAGCAGCCCATGTGTGCTCCCAATATGGTGTGAGGAGACCACAGCAGGTCAATGTCTGACTTGTTATCATACAAGTTGGCAGCAGAGATGTTTACTCTAAGCCATATGAATGATTACCTACATTTACATCATTACCATCCTACATTAAGGAGGAGGGAAGCCAAAGAGAAGCCATCTTTGTACATGTACATAGACATGTGGCAGCTGTGTAACTTCTGAATTTTCTCTTGTGGTCGTGCAGCCAGACAGCGGGTTTTTCTGTGATGGAAATTCTAGTGATGATGATGTGGTCCTGAAAGAAGAATTCAGAGGCATAGTAGTCAAACAAGGATGTTTGCTGAAACAGGTCAGTATTGAATGTGTTCCATTTTGTCACTGGGATGATGGTCATTGGATACAGGATTACACTTTTACAACGAAAAGCTTTAGAGAAGGGAGAAACTAGCCTATGCCATCTCCATATTTGATAGGTAAGGTTTCATCTCTGTCCCTCTTGCCTTAGCACAAAGAATGCTTGCTGTAGCATGGCAGCAGGGCTTCTGCCCAACTTTGCAAGGTTTATTGCTCTTACTACAAAATAAGGCAGGTTATAGCTTTAATTAGGAAAGGGTGCTAAAGCAGATGTGACAAGTCACTGGGGAGCTTGGGTAGAAAGGCTGCCAATCCAGTGTCCCTCTGGATACACAACTGGATTCAGTTGCCCGTTTTCACAGGCTTTTTTAGTGTACCTGAGCAAAAGAGTCCTTTCCGTTACTAGTGTTTAATTCTGTCCCGTCTGTAAGGTGACAGGTAACTCTATACCTTTCCTTTCCAGCAAAACTTTAAGCAATATGGTGACTGTGATGATAAGACGTGTACTTTCCAGGGCCATTGCAAGCAGATATTGGTGAATAGAAGGCGAGACCAGGATTCTTAAACGAAGAGAGTAGTTCAGTTGAAAAGGACCTACAATGATCATCTAGCCCAACTGGCTGACCACCTCAGGATTGACCATAGAATCATAGAATAGTTGGAAAGGACCTTAAGATCATCCAGTTCCAACCCCCCTGCCATGGGCAGGGACACCTCACACTAAACCATCTCACCCAAGGCTCTGTCCAACCTGGCCTTGAACACCATCAGGGATGGGGCATTCACAACCTCCCTGGGCAACCTATTCCAGTGCCTCACCACCCTCACAGTAAAGAACTTCCTCCTTATATCCAATCTAAACTTCCCCTGTTTAAGTTTTAACCTGTTACCCCTTGTCCCGTCACTACAGTCCCTAATGAACTGAAGGTTAAAGCATGTTATTAAGGGCATTGCCCAAGTGTCTCTTAAACACTGACAGGCTCGGGGCATTGACAACCTCTTTAGGAAATCTGTTCCAGTGTTTGACCATGTTCTCTGTAAAGAAATGTTTCCTAGTATCAAGTCTGAACCTTCACTGTTCAAACATTCATTGGAAGCCTAAGAAGTTTTTGGTGGTCCTCATTTGTATTCCTATTGCTCAATCAGATTACTCGAAAGAAACAGAAGCAATTAGATACACATCTTTCTGCTTTTACCCTGTCACATTCACAACTGCCTAGTTAGTAAGAACTTCCCTGCAGTGTAGCTAGTTGAGAAACTTGTTTTGAAATGCTCAGAGGAAGTGATTCACGACAGTCTTCCACTAGTGTTGGTCTGGAATTGGTCACCCTCAGTGACCCGTGGGTCATTGCTCAGAAGCGTTAACACTTCTGCTGAGAGAGAATGCTTTCAACAGATCTAGATTTGCCCCACCCATCATTTCAATCCTGGAAACAGCAGTGAGGCATCTGCACCCATGTTGGAAGGTGGAGTTATTTCTGCTTGAGCTTCTCAGCCAGGAAACCTCCCCAGGGTTCTTAAGCCAGATAAGCCTTTTTTGCTGTTGGTTGGTTTTGTCTTGCAGGGAAAGAAGGACCTTCAGCTCATCCTTGCCAATAGTTCACAGTACCTTCCTGCAAGACATTTTGCAGCCATGCTTTCTGGCAAGCATTCAGACCCAGTTTTCAGACACCTCATGTGAATGGCATGACTACCAGGCTATGAAATGTGTTTAGGGGCATCTCCTATGTTGAAGCTGTTCTGCTTCATATGACACATAAAAAGTGAAACTGGTGTGAAAGGCCAGTCGTGCAAAAAAGTGGGATGCAGTGAATACTTCCTGTCCAAAATATTCAGCTTTTTTCCTTTTGTATTTGCCTGTTCTCTCTTGGATGGGTAAGCTGACTGTAAGTCCTTGCAGATAAAGTAGTTCACAATATTTCTGGTTTTGAACTTTCCTAGGGACATCGGAGGAAGAACTGGAAAGTGAGAAAGTTTGTTTTAAGAGAGGACCCTGCATATCTTCACTACTATGACCCAGCTGGAGTAAGAGACATTTGGTTTATTTCCTTGTTTGTTTTAAAGCCAATATCTGATAGAAATATCTGAATGGAGTATTTGCATGGGAATGTGTGATAGGAAAGACCAAGTACTGTGGAGCTGTTTGTGCTCACATGGCCTAACCATCCTCTGGAAAAGCAGGGTGGAGGATGGTTTCTGGGGCTGCCACGTCAGGGAGGCAAGTGCCACCCAGATCTGGAAACAGGTAACACTGAACTGTGCTCTCAGCTCTTCTCTGTGATTAATTAGAATTAATGTGTGCTCTCATTTGATTAAAATGAACTAGGTCTTTTTCTATGTACTGTGACATTGAAAAAAAAAAGAAATGCAGTTGGCACAAGGCTCATATTCTTCTCATACGTTTGTTCAGGACATGCTAAATACTCTGCAGATCCTGAATTCCAAATCCCTGAAGAGATTTCCTATTTCCCTCTACAACACCCCCCCATGCTCCATGTCATGCATAGACTGAAGATCCCCTGGTTTCCCACATGACATACCATGTCACCAAATATTTTTGTTTCCATTCTGGTGTTGTAGCCACATATTAACATATGAACAGTCTCAGAAGTGTTGAATTTCATTCTGCTTTCATGTCCTCACCAGGGAGAAGAACCACTGGGAGCCATTCACTTGAGAGGCTGTGTGGTGACAGCAGTGGAAGATATGCCTGACTGTAAGGAACCATATTGAATTAGCAGTATAATACATTTTTGGCACATTCTTTCAGTCTGCCTGAAATCACAAGTGGTTTTTACTCAAAACCAATCTGTGTGCCATGGTCCAGTAATTCTTCCAGTAACTAGTCTCTCTATTGCTGTCTTAATTACTGGAGAATGATATTATGGTAAAGGTAGCAAGAGGCAATCTTGTGTTTTGTAAGTTGTTCAGAGAAGACCTGTCAAAAGGATGACACCATCCCTACACTGGGATAACTGGCCTTAGACAGAGTAAGCTGAGTTTGCTTTTTTTAGCTGATGAGTTTGGGATGGAACATTTAAGTTAGAAATGGTTATGCCACAAATTGTTATTGTTTGCATTCTGTTCCCTCCCAAAACGAAGCTGTGGGAACAGCAATGGCTAAGCATCGCTGCAAGGAACAAGAAACATTCCTTCCATGCATTCTGCTCCCCACAGGAGTGGCAAACTCATACCCAGCAAGGAAGTTCGTTGGCATCTCAGCACCCATGTGGCCTGTGGTAGCAGACATGAAAAGAACCAGAGATTCTGGATGTGATGTGAACTTGAATGTCTTGATTTGTAGCTGGCAAGGCATGGAAGGGTTTCATAAATCATAGACTCGTTAGAGTTGGAAGGGACCTTAAAGAACAGGGGGAATATGGAGAAAATGGGGAATATGACCTGCCTGCAGGATTGCAGACCTTTCCATGGTTGGAGAGCAATTAACCAGAGACTCTTGAAGGTGAAATATGCAGAATTCATGGGTTATTTTCCAAGAGAGACCTATCTCATGGACGCAATCTTGCAATCGGTTTGTGAAGGCCTGATCAGGCTCAGCTTAGAAAGAAAGGAAATCCCCTTACGGTGTGTAAAGGAGGAAACTTTGTAAACACAAGGTACTCTTTCGTATCTTCTGACTTCCCTATTTCTCTTTCCCGTAGCCAAGAAGCATGATGTTGACAATATCCTCTTTGAAATTATCACAGCAAATGATATCCACTATTACTTGCAAGCAGCCTCATCCACAGAGCGTACAGAGTGGATCAAAGCAATTCAGGCAGTTTCTAGGACTGGAAAATGAAGATGAGCTGCCAAGAAGACAGACAACTGAAATTAATAACTTAAAACAGAAATTTCACTGAAAGAAAGCAATATCATCCCAAAAGGCATCCTACGGCTTGTGGGCTGGGGTGAGGGTGGGCAGTAGGATAAGATACTACAATGCTATAGTGGGCACTAACAAAGTGTCATTTTTCCACTTGTGTTAAGGTAATATTTTACTGAATTGTAGCATAGAACATGCCATAGTAGTGTGTGCTGCTTAATCAGTCCTCCTTGGGAAGGTGGTACCTTACACCTTTTTGTGCTGCCACAGCTGGTAGTGAGGATTTCACTCACGTCACTGTGAGAAGCTGAACTTGTCACCACCCAGCCTTTGCTGCATTTCAGTATCTTGAGATATTTCAAAGTCTTCCCAAGACAAACTTTACACTTCCTTCTTTGCTAGATCTTTTTACTGCTTGTTCACCTACGCAAATAATGCCATAGATTTAGAGAAGGAAATCAACTCACTTGGAAACCTGCTCCACTCCTTTATAATCCATCAGTATTAAGGAAAGGAAGAATGAAGACAATTATAGAAACACCTTGTAGAAAGCAAGTACAACTTGATATGATGATGGCTGCATGAGGAAAGGTTTCTTTCCACAGTATTTCAAATATGAAGCAATCTCAGTTCGAGTTCTTTATCTCACCTGATTTTGACCTTTGCTAAATTTCTCCACAAGAATCTGCTCTAGGACCATTGTTTCCCTTCATTTAGATCCCCAAAGCATTTAGTAGGATGTCAGGTACTGCTGATTTGACCTGTATTTGAATTAAATAGAAAGGAGAAAAGAAAGGATCCATGAGTTACCTACTCGAACTACTGATTGAAGTGGGTTTATTCAGGTTTTTCTTTTTTAACCTCCAGCAACATACTCAGTCCTTGTTTCTGTGCCTTAGTAGTATAAGAGAAACCTTATGCTTGCTGTAACTAAAATAAATGTTATTTGACAAGATCAGTTTACCTGATCAATCCTTATATTGTTTTCTGGCTGTATGAAGCTTCTAAGTCTAATTTTATGCAGGAGTTGAAATTAAAGTTAATGTCATATTCTGCACGTAGGCTGTTCCTGATGCAGCCTGATGCTTCTGAGTGCAAGTAAACTTCAAAAGTTTTAAAACTCTGCTCCTTGATCTAATCAGGTACCTTGTCCTTAAGAATTCTTATTCAGATCTCTTTAGTCTTAAAAATAAATCTGGATCTAAAGCTTCTCTTCAAGTCTGCTTAATTATACTTGTATCTGAGCTAATGAGCATGAAGGTCTTCTGCCTTAGTAGTGCTTGTCACAAAGGACACACAGCCTTTGAGGGGCAGCAGGCTGACAAGGCCACCACATCGTCATGTCTATTTAAGACATCCAGGGGAAATCAGCTTCTGGCAGGCACTTTCTATATCTCACACAAGCTGACAGGGCTACTGAAGCCTGGTCTGTCATTCTGAGGAAGGAAAACAACTACACTGTTAGCTCAGCCTGCTTTCTTGATAATTGCTTTGTGGTTGCTGCTTATTTTTGCTTTCTGAGCTCACTAACCCCAAAATACTGTATGGCACAGGAAAACAGATAAAACGTCACACAACCAAACAATGACAACTTGCCCAGGTTAGCAAAGAAGGGCTGCAACTCCTAATTTTTAATAAAACTAAAACGTTTTACCAGTCTCTGACCTTGTCATTTTTCCCTGTGCCCAGTCAAGGGTCCGTCTGCCCACATATGAACTGTATTTTCTCTGGTAGATGATGCTAGTCAGTGTCTTTGTGGAAGAGCTCTGATGTGTGTACCAGACTATAGCAATAGGGTCTCCAACCTGATAGGTAGTTCTTTTGAAGATAGATCACACACAAGGGTTTGTGGGAGTCCCTGCTTCTTGGTGGAAACAGAAGAATTGGAAGTGTATGTCTGATGCCACTCTACCTACATTTCCTGCTATAAATGCTTTCATTTGCCCAAGACTCATACTGGGAGTGGCTCCAATCTGTTCTTCCTTTTAGCCAGGTTCTTATGCATTTCTTGACATCAAGAATTAGCTTTATATTCTAGGGAGAATGTGCCCTAGTCCATTTTCAGACAGGGCCTGACAAGAAAATCAATACATTTCACAGATCTTTTCTCTCTGATAAGCTCTGCACAAGGGATGAATCATGGGACAGAGTTATTATGGGGCTACTTTTCAAAGAGATTTGGTTTCCTAACTCATGGCAGTGCTTTTAAAAAGCAAAGTAGGTACCTGAATACCACCAGCAGTCTGACCTTAGGAGTTCTAAGTGAGATGATGACAGTTGTCACAACCCTTGAACTGAGTCAAGAAAGTTGCTAAGGAGAGAGCTACTGGAGCTAAGGTGATGACTGACTATTGTAATAGATGTCTGTATATGAAAAGAAAAAAGGTACATCACTACAATTTCTAGAGATACTAAATAGATGCTGTCCAGTTCAGTATTTAAAAGCAGCTACAAGTCTAGCATAGATCATGAGGCCAACCTACTTACTCAGAAGGCATAGAAGTGAAGAGACATCTATCCTGAGTACTAGCACAAGAGAAGAGGGAGCAGGCCTACCACAAGGCATTACTAATTGAAAGAGAAAAAACAGAAGAGCAGACCTTCATGCTTCCTCCATCTGTTTTCACCCTCTAACTATTTAAATCACACTTCTGTGCGCTCGGCAATTGATATATCAACATCAGGTCCTTTTTTACTCATAACAGGGATTAGTTCTTTTTTGTAGACTAAAGGGCAAGAAAATAAACCATTGTGGATAAGGGCTGTATTTATAATCTTCAATTACTGGAAGACCTGTATGATATAATCTTCTGTAAAGGTCCTCTTGGGCTTGTGTTTGACTTGCCACATCTCACACTGAGCAGTTTTCCCTCTACTGGAACTCTGACTGTGTACTTACTACAGTCAGGTTTTTAGGAATGTATATTAACCATTGCACCCGCAAAAACACTCATGCAGACACATAGCTCCTTCTTCCATGGTTTAAAAGAAAACATGGACAAAACCAAGGAAAAAGCCAACTCCATACACTGAAAAAATAACATCCATGAGGACTGCAACCACCCAACAAGCTTTCAGCCACAGGTGTTACTTCTTACAATTAAACAAGCACTGCATATGGATGTAGCTCTGTCTTAATGCATCTTTAGCAGTGGTTTCCAGGAGCTGCTTGCTTTCTCTACTCTGTAGCTTTCTTCTGAATGGTAATGTTAGTATTATTTTGTTGCTAAATGTAATTATCTTGGTGCTGTTCTTTGTAATGTACTGGTTTTGCTTTTTATTTGGGAGTAGTTAACAGTGCTGAAGATCTACTGAAAATGTGGTTTTCGTAATAGAGCAGTTTATTGAGGAATCTTTAATCAAAGTGTCTTCAGAAAGAGAAGAAAAACTGTCAAGGCCTCTGAGGTATGACCGAGTGTGTACTGTCAAGTCTCCCTTTTAGATGAAGTTTTCATTTGTATTTGTTCTTGTAGTATTGCAGATCATTCTTCAGTGCAGTAATACTGCTTCTGTCTTTGAGTTCACCTTGCTACAAATGTTAAACACCAATAATTTCCTTGTTTGTGTGTTTGCTTCTAATTTGTTCTCAAATACTTCAGAAGTTATTTCAAGTTTTAACAACTTGCTCCACAGGGCTCTAGTTAAATGTATTTTTACTGTTTGTAAAGTGCTTCCGTTTGTTCAGGCTTGGATAACACCAAAACTAAGAAGCCTGAAAGCTTCCCTTAAATAACCTTTTTGGTGAGACACAGAAACGTTTTAGTAGATTGGGGGTGAGCTGTTGCTTTTTTTGTTTTTCAGTTTGTACATTTTAAAACTGTAGGCGACTATAGGAGGAACTTTAAAAAGCAAAATGAGTAGTCCACAGTTCTCTGCCATTTGCTGGCAGTCAGTATTTCTGTGGGTGCCTTTAGTCTGTGATTTGAAAGTGCTTGTATATTTGCCTGTGAACTGTGGTCTTCTCATTGATGTATCGAGACCTTACCATGCTCAGTGTGAACTTCTGTGTGCAGTAGAAGGCAGGCTTCAAGTTTCTGTCTCCTCTTTGAGTTTTCTGCCTGCTAACAGGGGAATGTGTGCTCTAGTCTTTTCATCTCTTTTCTTCTCACCAGCCACCTTTCTTGGAGGAGTTTTGGGGTTTGATAGCTTTGGCAGCCTGAGAAAACTGCATGTGCTATGCAATAAATAGTGCCAAGTTCCATAGCCTACCTACTTGAATATTTTTCTAAGTAATGTTAAGTTTGTCCTAAAATAAATAAAGTGGAATATAGGTGTTAATGATGCACCACAACATGCCAGAGGTTCTTTTCAGAAGCTAGGATAAAATAAAATGCAAGGCTGTATGTACAGCCTCTGGTTTGAATGATTGTTTTCAGATTATACAATTAAGTAATTGCATAGTTAGATTATTTAGCCTGTAAAATGAGCAGTTTTCAGTGTAGGAAGTGTCAGATGTTTGCCCTTTAACATCAGAACACAGGATGGATATCTCAGTACTGCTTCTTGTGACCAAGCTTGACAGCAAAGGGTCTTTCTACTGCTTTCTAACCCTTTCTCTGCTACCCAGGAGTGGGGCTCCCGAGTACATCTCTCATATCTTTCTGCGTTACTTGTGTGGCACTAAGGAACTCGGAGATGACTTAAAAATGGTTGAGGCTGGGTCAGCGTTCTGACCGGTGAAGCGATGGTGCCTTTCCAGATGACTTTGCCTGCCTACCACACGTGGCTCAGCTGCCCGAGGGAGCCTTTATAATGCTCCCACCAGGCTCCTACAGTGCTGGATTGTAGCCTGAAAGAGGGGAGTGGAAGCAGCTTCAGTAAGAGAATGAGACTTAGTCCAGGCCCATCTGAAAGATGAATGGGGCAGGGGGCTGCCGTGTGTGCTATGAGTTGTTTTTATTGCGTGGGATGATGATACAACTGAAGTCTGAATCTGATGCATGAAGAACAATTTGAATGTGGTTATTTCATCACTTTCTGAAGGTATTTTAGGAACTGCTTTTCCTCTTGAGATGGTGGGGTGGGGATCTACAAGCCAAGCAAGCAAAATACACCCTTCAGAAATCTCCCACTGAAAACAAGGTTTTTCTTTTGCTGTTGCTCATGAGATTTCTTGAAACAGAGTTTCTCATTTGGCCTCAAAATAAGCTTCCCCCCCCACCCCTCCCTGGATGAGCACAAAGAACTTCCTGCTTCACATTTAAACCAAAACTGTGGCTTTCCACACTTTGTATCTGGTTCTTGTAGATTGCTTAATTTTTCCCCCCCCTTCAGTTTGGTTGAAGGGAGAGTAAAACCATGTGTGAGAGCTGAGGAAAATGCTGCTTTTCGTACTTCATTGGACTTCCACTGTAAGTGTACTGGGGTGTAGTAAAACTCTTTGTCTTCCCTGCATAGGCTGCTTTTTCTTTTTTTTTATGATGGTAACACATTTCCCTCTTTTTCCATCCCTGAGAAAGGCCTGAGAAGGAGGGAGAAAAGGAATTGAAGGCAAATGGTCATGAAACTGATGGATTTCTGTTTCATGCAGTTGAAAGGGGGGGGAAAATACGTTAGTAAGTTTGAAAATTTGCCTTCAGTATGTCTTTCACCAACATCTTGGATATTCATAAACCAGAGTGATCAAGGGAGAGGAGGAGGGACTGGGGGTTGACTAGTTTAATGAAAAAAAAACAACCCTAAATTAAGAAATCTAAAACTAGATACCCCAATTTTCCCAAATCCTCAAACCCAGAGATTAAAAGGACACTGAGAAAGTTCTTAATGTATTGCCATTAGCCCCTTTCTCCTTATGAAACATACTAGAACCTATTGCAGTTTGATAAGAGTATCAGTTATAAAAATCGGTGTATAATCACTCTCCCCATCTACCTGCTTCCACATCATAAGGAAAAGACTGAGAATCCTTTCTTGAACGCGAAGTATATAAAAAAAAAAACCAAGAAACTTTCCTTTTTATCCTTCATTGCTTCTGCTACGTGTGTATGCAAGTGTCCTGCTTTTGAAGGCTTAAATTGCTGTGTCTCGCTCGTATGTGATGGTGAAAGTACAGTAACAGAGTCAATATGCATGCCTGCAATATTTTTTAATAATAGGAAGGTTTGTTTGGATCAGTTTTTAACCCTCCTATGAAGTTTTCTGATTAATAAAAGGAATTATTTCATCATTCTAGTACATAAGTGGTAAAATAAGGTTGGTTTCTTTTGTGGTTTGTTTTTTCCTTTTTTTTTTTTTTTTCCTTTTTTAACTTAATATTTTTACTTGAAGGCTTCCACCGCTGCCCCCGTTCCATGTTACATCTTCCCTCCACAACATCTCTTTTTCCTTAAAGCTATTTTAACCTAAGCTTTCTAACATAAAAAGCAAGCATGTAGCTCTGCTTCTTAGGCATCATAGAGTGGAACTCACGTACATAAACATAAATGCCTAGTGGCATTTTAGATGTGCTACAGCATGCCAAGTGGTCTCTGGTCACCCCTTTAGAACAGCAAAAACTTCCTCTCATCTCATACCTACGTGCTTTGTATAGATGTTTGGTTACGTTATGGATATTAAGTGCTGTTACAGTCTCCTTATTTAAGTATTAGAGGAGCCCCCAACATTATTGTCTCTAAGTATGTGTGTTCATAAAGGTTGCATGTTAGAATGGCTTTAAAGAGCAGTATAATTAAGACAAAATTGTCTAAAGACTAGTTCAAAAATAAAGGTGTCATTAGAAAAGTTGATTGGTTTGGTCAGCCACATGTGATGAAGCTTGAGGCAAGGTTCTGTTATTGGCTGTACAGTCAAATGGCCGTATATACTATATCTTGTGAAACCTAGGTGTTAGGAACGCCTAGCTAAATTTGTACAGCACGCTTGTTCTTTAGCATTGTGACAGAAAAATAGCTATTGAAAACAGTCTCTCAGTTGAACAGATGAATAAAGTTCTCCCAGGGTACTGTCATATTTCATTTATTAGCTGTAAGATACTGCTGATACAGAAAAATATTTTGCTTTTCTCAACATATTTTTTTCCTCTGTTAGGATTAAAGGCCTGAGGTGGCCGATTTGTTTGAGGTTTTTCCCCCTGTTCCCAGCTATACCTGCAATTCAGCCTTCAAGCTGAATCCTCCAATAGGTGGCTGGTAGCATCTTGTGGTGTTTTCTGTTTGGTGTTCTGAGATCACTCAGACATTTAAAAGCAATATTTAGTGCTAGGGCTAATACTTCATCTGATGGCTGATGGTGTCCTGTGGCATCTGGAGAAGTCTTTGTGTAGAGCTTCAAGTGTCTGGCATCTCAGCTACAAAGCAACCTCTGCAGTCGATGCTTCCACATCTGCAAGCAGTAGCTCCTTTGCCTGTTAAGATTTTTAAGGGCCACGTATTAAAACCAGCACGTGCCATTCTAACAATATATTTAAATATGGAACAAAATAAGCTCATGTTGTACCTAATTTGCACACTGTAGTAGGCTGGTTTTCATTCCACCCCCCCCAGCTTTGTAAATCCAGGGTTGCTGGACAGGGGTGGCAGTGTTGTACAGGACAGTTCTGAGGGGCTGCAGGTAACTGCTGCTACATAGAATTGTCCTCTAGGGTTTTATCTTGGTGGGTCTCCCAGGACCTCCGAGTTTGCTGTCCATCACCTCTTTCCTTCTCCCCCTTCTAGCCACAGTTGTAGCTCGGGTTTTTTTTGGTTTACCAGAATAGCTGCAATGGGTCTAGCCCTTAGCAGAGCCCTGAAAAAAAACCAAACCCAAACCAAAACACCACTAACCCCCAGCTTCTAGCATTGCTGTGCTGATCAGAACCAGCTGCTGATGTGGTGTTAAATGCAGCAGGTGATTCCTTCCAGGGTTTTAGGGACAGGCATTTCCAAACAAGCAATATGCTGAAAAACAACCATGAAGTTGCTTCAGCAACTCCTGCGAATCTGATAGGCTTCTACCCAAGTTCATTTGGAGAGAAAATAATAACACCACGACTACCAAAATCCTTCCATCTGTATGCTTTTATGGCCCTTCTGTCAGCTTTGGTGGGCTGAAGGAGCCAATCCTAGTTCTGAGCCCAACTATTCTGTCTTCAGCTGGGATAACTCTGCCACTTGGTACCTTTTAGAGATGACAAGGATAAAGACCACGGACATTAGTGCCAGCCTATCAGCAGAAACACTTCTTTTGACAAGATTAGCTTTGGGTGGTCTAATGGAGAAAAGCCTGTGGTGATTAAACACCTCATGCTTTCTTTTTCGTTTAGTGTGACTGTTAATGGCAATGGCCCAAAGCTACATCCTGCACCACGCTGCAATAAAGCCACACTGTCAGCTCCTCCCTTCAGAAATGGAGCACTGCAAAACTGAGTAGTTGCAAGGAAGGCTCTAACACCACATTCGGGTTTGGAAATACAGAAGTAACAACTTCAATGCTGGGCATTTTGATGTCCAGCTGTGTGCAGCAGCTTGGGACATTTTATACAGCAGGGGAGCTTTTTTTTTCATACCAGAAGCCTGGCTGTTTTAAGCTCATGTTTAAGCCATGTGCGGTGTGTGAGTGGAGGACATCCTAATTGCTCTGCACCACATAAGCTTCATGTGCTCTCTCGAGATGCCTCTCTGTCTTTGGAAAGCTGGATGGCAGAAGGTGAACGGCAGGAAGGCTGTGTGACTAATGGGATGCCTGGGTGACGGATGTCTTGGGCACCTTTCTGCAGCTGCCACCTTCTGAGTAGGAGGATAGAAGTGGTGTATGAGTGCAGTGGGAAGGTCAGTGGGGTTTGTTAAAGCAGAACTTGCCACTTCCTCAAAAACTTGTGGGTAAGAGAGCTGGGAACTGAAGCACAAAAAGGGTTTCACCAGCCACCTAGGTCTGAGGGTAGTTGTTGCATGTCCTGGAGGAGCAGGTGAGCTTTGAGGGTTTGTGTGGCCTTGGCTGCTCTCTGGGGAAGGATACCTATGCATTAGTGCTAATCTAGGACCAATAGAATCTTCCTGTTGCTGTAATTTCTGCGGTTTTGATTCAGAGGTAGGAGAGGAAAAAGATGAACCTAAACTACATGGTGTAGGAAGTGCCACTGTTTGGAGTGATGGATGCTGTTGGGGTGTCTTTGAGGGGAAGAGAGCACATCCAGCCTGCAGGAGAGCTGAGAGGCTGCGTAGGTGGTGCAGAGACAGAGAGGGCTAGAACAAAAGACCAGAACTGAGGTAATGAAATTTCCAAGGGGAATGAAATCCCCTAAAGGAGGGGATCAGCATGGGGAGAAGGGAAGCAAACTTTGTTTTAGTGATAATTTGTCCTTAAATACTTGGGTCTTTTTCTTTCAGTAATAGTTTTTTTTTTATGAGAAACTTACACCACTGCTACTCCTTGTTTAAAGATCCAGGCCTTGTCTAATTGCATAGCTGAGTGTTTAATTCCTTGTGTGTTTAAAGAGGTACAGCCACCTGATCTGGACAGAGGTAGAGGCATGACAGATACTGATAATCACTGTGCTCGTATGAGAAGGGGGAAAAGCTACAGTGAAGTGTAGCTGTGTTAGGATTTATACCAGAATAATTATTCTATTTAAAAATTGTATCATGGGACATGATACATGAGAACTGGCATATACATGATAATATACTGACATATACATGAGAACTGACAGCTGAGGGGCAGGAAAGGAGCAGGAAGAGGGGATAGATGTCTGGAAGCTAGAGACTGGAGGTAACAGGAAGCTGGGTGAGAAGGGTGAAGAACTAGATCCATGATTGTGCCCTTTTCTTGTCTTATAAATAAGACATTGGGCACTCCTGAGGTGATGAGAATGCACTGCTTCAATTATTTTCTTCTTTATTAATTTATATGCACTGTTGTTTTCACTTCTATCTCTCTTAAAGTCAGGATAAAAAGATACTGTAAGCAGGTGGTAAGGCAGCACCTTTAGTGGAAAAACTTGTGCTTATGTGTGGTGTGTGTTGGGTGTTTTATTTGAGCTAACTAGATATAACCTATGAGCAGAATTACTAATAATAAAGGAAGCAGTGTTTGCAATTCATTGAGAGTTGTGCTGCACCCACTATATTTGGCTATGTTCTTTATTCTGTGTTACCCTTCAGCCATGTTTGGCAGCAGGGTGGTATCGGAAGCTTCAGTGAATTTTGGATGCTGTTTCCATTTTGGCTAATGTAGTAGTTGTCCCACAAGAACAGCGTCAACTCTTTTGGCAGTAAAGGGAGATATCATGCATCTTTATACAACCTAAAGCAATGGGATCCTGATACTGGGACTAACACCTATAAAGAAGGAATTGCAGAAGATGTTAAGAAACATTATGCAGTCGTTGCATCATATTATTGTCACATAATATTGTGGCTGAGAAAGCTCTCTTAATTAGATATGTTACTCATGATTTAGAAAAGGTGCTGGTGCTTATGAACTGAAAGTCTGTTCTGATGGGGAAAATGTAGGAGGCTAAGAGAAGTGGATCAGTTTTGATGAAATCTGTTGAATGTTACAAACTAGAAAAGGGAACACAGATAACTTACTCTTCTTGGAAGCATTTTAGAACTGCCAGTTTCATCTGGCTGTTCTGTTTCTTCCTTAGCCTGGAGAGATGGGTGCCTACAACAAACAGCCTGTGAGCCCACACACTTGCAATAAAGGGGAGTAAAAAATACTAGATATTTTCACCGATATTCTGCAACAGTTAAATAATGGTGAGCAAATAAAAATGGATAAGTTGTAAGCAAGTTTAAACTAATGTTTTTTTTTAACCACCAGCATCATTGAACAAAAACACCCGATATTGGATGGTAGCCCAGATGACCACGGTTTGTATTTTCAGACCAGAACTGCTCTACTGCTCCATCTAGCGTTTTTTGGCCCTGTTAAAAGTCAGGGCTGGACCTAATTTTGAGTAAACTCGGTATCTAACAGGAGCCTGATCTAGTGCCATTGAATTTCATACTCATGACAAGACATTTCTCTCCTTACGTTGCCAGACGGTCCTCTGCCAAAGTCCACAATAGTTGATTTGAAATCACTTCACATTAACTAAGTTTCATAACTATGGTAGAAATCTTGTGTCCTCAACATAAAAAGGACATGGAACTGTTGGAACAAGTCCAGAGGAGGCCACGAGGATGATCAGGGGACTGGAGCACCTCCCATATGAAGATAGGCTGAGAAAGTTGGGGCTGTTCAACCTGGAGAAGAGAAGGCTGCGTGGAGACCTCATAGCAACCTTCTGGTATCTGAAGAGGGCCTGTAAGGATGCTGGGGAGGGACTCTTCATTAGGGACTGTAGTGACAGGACAAGGGGTAACGGGTTCAAACTTAAACAGGGGAAGTTTGGATTGGATATAAGGAAGAAGTTCTTTACTGTGAGGGTGGTGAGGCACTGGAATGGGTTGTCCTGAGAAGTTGTGAATGCTCCATCGCTGGCAGTGCTCAAGGCCAGGTTGGACAGAGCCTTGGGTGAGATGGTTTAGTGTGAGGTGTCCCTGCCCATGGCAGGGGGGTTGGAACTGGATGATCTTAAGGTCCTTTCCAACCCTAACTATTCTATGATTCTATCTTCCTACAGAGAATTAGTCCCAGATTGGTGACTGAATTTTGTAGGAATAACTCCAGCAATAGGGACCTTCAAAGCGTTTTCCTTCTTAATTTACTCTTTAGTGCAAAGTAAGTAGGGAAAGGTGATATTTAAATGGAATTGTAGTAAGTTGGTTTTGTGGTGACTTCCATGTTGTGCAATGTGACAGGCATCTCCTCTTTTACTAGCAGCATTTTTTAAAGTCTGTACTAAAAATCAGTGCTGGTAAAGCAGGGTTCATGTGATGGGAGATGCAGGAAAAAACTAAGTTTCTGAATGTCTTTTAGCCTAACTACAAAAATATATGATGTTGTGTTATCTCTCATGGTTATCTGACTTGTTTTATTTAAAGTAGTAAATTCTGCTCTACTCCTCCTCATGCAAATGACTGAAGCGCAGAGAGGCTGTAAATTACATGGCTGCTTCAGTCCTGCCTGGTGCCTGGACCTATCAGTTCTAATCCAGAAATCCCACAGTGGAAATGCAGCACTGCTGAACACTGACACTTCCGCACTTCAGTGGATACAGGTTCAGAGAAGGGCTCTGTACAGCGGGGATGTTCAGCTGATCCTGAGGTGGCTGCCTTGTCCTTTCCTTTCCAATGTCTGGATTTGCCCCTTCCCCAGCCTGCCTTCGTGGGCTCTCATGTTGTGCTGCTGGTACGATACGCTTCAAGTCAAACACACATTTTTTTTGTGAAAGTCATCTCTTCCAACATAAAAAGTGCAAACTGAAATAAAAAGTGCAATCAACATCTTTTTGACAATACGGCAGAACATTAAATTTACACATATAAAATAACAACTGAATATTTAGTCTTACTTAGAATTCTACAGAAAAATAATCAGATAAAGTGCAAATAAAAAATATGCATAACTTTTTTTTTTTTTAGAAGCCTTCATCATATGTTTGCAAACAACTGATTTTGAACAGCAAAATATTTACAGTTTGGCAGTCTGTGACTTGTTGATAGAAGGTTCTTAAGTTGCTAGAACAAGAGGTTCTTAAGTTGCTAGAACAAGCACTGGTTTTTCATCTCTCAAGTTCTGCTTCCAGGATTTCTCCCCATGTGTCAACATCCATGGGATACATGCTTTTCTCTGGCAAGCTGTTCCGTGAAGGAATGTTGCTGTATTTCCCACTCAGCCATTCTTGCTTCACTTTGCTTTTCCAGTAGTTTCTCAGTAACGTGATCTGATGGAAAAACAGACAGCGCAAGTCTTGGAAATGAACTGATTTCAGCTGCATTTCAATGCAAGTAAGTTTTTGCATTGGAAGAGTAATGCTAGAAAAAGGATTTGAAACATGTCTTTGGATATCTAGACTAAGCCCAGGAAGGTATGCTGCTTCCAAGAAGCAGACCTTCATCTATTTCCAACTTTTCTGTTCTAAGTTGGGTGGAGAACCACTTCTTGCCTTAATTCTTTGAAGGTCAAGATGAAAACCCTAAACCAGGAATTCGTCTTCTTCCTTACTCCTTAAAAGAGATGCCTTTCACTTTCTCTTCCTATTGAGGTTATTTGTGACCTCTAACTCATTTAGGGTCTTAATGCAGGCTGGCTGGTTTCTTCTCTTCAGCCTTTACTGCAACCTTTTGTTGCAAGAAAACTGTCTTCAACCTTTTAGTGCAAGAAGATGCTGATTCTGTGTGTTTGTTCCTTCTACTTCAAATCCCCACCAGGTAAGACAGAGAATCAGTACAGGTAGTTCTGGAAATTCCTGTGCAAGAGTAGCAAGATCTGTGCATTCAAAAGGCAACCACTACCTGTTCATGGCTTTGCCTCACACTGAAACACCTCTACATGTGAGAGTACAGAACTAGGTTGTTTTGGGTTTGGGTTTTCCTTTTTTTGCTGCTGCATCTCTCTTTTCACCCCTCCATGGTCCCCCTGCTCTTGAACACACCAGCTAAAACAAGGTGGGGAATCATGCTCTAGCTGGTCCAGAGTAGTAACTGTGAAACCTCTCCCTTCCTGATCTACTTCAGCTTGCAGGCTGCGATAGATCTTCCAGTGTGATCAGCTCTGAACTTCTCAGAGCAGCTGTAACTGGGAGTGTGTGTGTGGAGTTTCAAAACAGCTTCTAGCAGCTTCTCCTTGTTTCCTTGTCTCTACCCTGATTTTTTTTTTTTAATTTTTTTTTTTTTTTTCCTCCTGGATGCATGTTGCTTAAGGTGTACTGAAGCAGAGCTACCCAAGATACAACTCTGGGAAGTCATTCCTCACCAGAGCTATTCCCATCAAATGCAGCCAGAGAGCACATACTGCCAAGTGGGGGTATGTTGTCTTCTATCCCCCAGCCCTGCCTACAGAAATGCGGGCTTTCTTCCATGCTAGGGCTGTGCAGACTTTGATGTGATGAGTCACAGAACCATAGAATGGTTTGGGTTGGAAGGCACCTTAAAGCTCATCCAGTTCCAACCCCCCTGCCATGGGCAGGGACTCCTTCCACTAGACCAGGTCGCTCAAAGCCCTGTCCAGCCTGGCTCTGACCACTGCCAGGGATGGGGCATCCACAGCATGCTGAGGCTGTGTGGGGTGGCGAGGACTAAACGGAGCAATCTCAGCTGGCCAGATGTGGTCGTGGGCAGGAAGCAGGTCAGCCTGGACTCATCCCTGTGTGCATTTTACCAGATGTCCAGCTGTTGGGATGCACTACCGAGCCACGCTGCGATGACAGCGGTTCTCCCATTACCCTGCGACAGACGAGCTCTGCTGAAGTAACGTGACACGCTTTTATTGCCAATCCCAGAAGCCTCGACGCTGCCGACACGCCGTCGCTGGCGTTACCTTTACCTTCCAGGAATATCCGTTTCCTCGGTCGCAGTCGATCTCCCGCTGGCACACAGCCCGCACGCTCAGGCAGTGGTGCCTCCATAGGCGGTCGTTGCTCTCGATGACGCGGTGCCAGCCCTTGCATGTCGCGGACGCGTGACACAAGCTCTCAACGTCGAGGTCGCTGAAAATCCGGGAGCTGACCTCCGCTGGGAGGAGAGCCACGAAGTCAGCCGGGCCTCGGCCGGAGGGGAGGAGCGCGGGTCCGCCGGCGGCAGCGCGTTCCCCGTCCATCCCCGGGGCGCGGAGGGCACCCCCCCGTCACGGCGGGTTGCTGCGGTGACCCGCGGGGCCGGGGCCCGGGCCCGGTTCCGCCGGCATGGCGCTGGGGGTGCCCGCGTGTCTCGGGGTGCCGCTGTTCGTGTTCTGAGGCGAGCCCTTCCGCTTCCCGCCTCCGCCGCCGCAGGTCATGTGACGGAGCGTCCCTGCGTCACCCGCCGGCGCGCAGGGACCCTCAGGAGTGTGGCGGTGGCGGCCTCGGCCGGGCCGTGCCCCGTCCCGTCCCGTCCCGGTACCCCCGAGGTGAGGCCGGTCCCGCCGCTGAACGCACCGCGCTGCCGGTGCATCGCCTCGCGGCCTCCGCTCCCAGCGGCCGGGCTGCGGCCTTCCCCCCGCCTCGGCCTGCCGTGTGGCGTAGGGCGCGTCTCCTGGCCCTGCCGCGGGCTGCTCCCGGCCGGGGTCAAGGTGGTTTTGTGTCTCGATCCACCGTGTTCGGAGGGGCACACGGCAGGGCTGGAGCCCGTGCAGCACCGTCACCTCTTCGGGAAGCAGCCGGAGGGGCCTGTTGTGTGGGGGCGCTGCTTGGTCGCTTGTGTTCCTCTTCAGGAGGCAGCGAACAGCGCGGCCGATCAGTGTGTGCCTTGCCTGTAACGCAGGAAGCTGTGGAAGGGGCTCCCGAGTGGCGCTGTGCGGTGCGTACAGCAGTAATTAAACATATAGACGAGATATTAAGAAAGAATTCTGCACTGTGAGGGTGGTGAGAAACGGGCACAGGGTGCCCAGAGAAGCTGTGGCTGCCCTGGAAATGTTCAAGGCCAGGTTAGATGGGGCTTGGGGCAGCCTGGTCTAGTGGAAGGTGTCCCTGTCCATAGTAGGCGACTGTAACTAGATGAGCTTTAATTGAAGGGAAAACAGTTGCAGTTTTTGTGCGCTTTCAGGTGAGGTGGCTCTGAACTGAGTCTTTTAAAACCAGCACTTGAGTGTGTGATGGCACCTCAGAGCTGCAGAATTGTAACCTTTAGTGAGGGCTAGACAAGAAGTGCTGGATTCATTGTGCGGCTGATCCTGAAAACTGGGTCTCAGTGTTGTTATTTTTATTGTAGAATCCAATTCTGGGAACTTTCAAAGATTTACAGAAAAAACAAATTCTAAGCTGTGATTTCAGCTTTCTCAGTTTTGTCATGGCAGTGACTAGTATAAATTATGTACTTAAACCCCAAACCACTACAGAGGTGGTCAGCAGGGATTGGAACATTTTTTGTTCAGAATATTTCTAGTGGAAGGTAGAAAGGAATGTTTGTTTCCTCTGCAGATTGATGTAAGAGTATGTTACATTCAGTTTAGAAGTGTATTAATGGTCAGTGTTCAGACCAACTTCTGTGTTTGAGTAAAAAGCACATGTTTATATTTGTTTGAATAACTGACAATCATTTTGCTTTGTCAGAAAAAAAACAGGAGGCTGATGCATAAGAAACACCGAGTGTTCACCCAGTTGAGACATCTTGTAGTCCATTGTTAATAGAACCAGCTTTTTCCAACTCCGAGGTACAGGGAGCTGCAAAAATGACAAAAAATGCTGTTACTTCCGGGCATTCGGTGAGTGCTTAATTTTTTAAATTAAGTTTTAACATTTGTAGGCATGTGTTGAAAAGTGTTGTGTTTTCTAAACCCATTTCTTTTTTTCTCTGAGAAGTAAATCACGACAAAGTTGTATATTGAAAACATCTGTTGTTTTATTAATTAGGATTGTGTGCCACACAAGTGTATGAATATATTTGTATTGTGTATTTATGTTTATGATAATTATGCTGCAATAATTTGTTCTCTCAAATGTGCAAAAATTGCTATTGCTACAGCAATATTTTGACCTAACAATACTGTAGCTGAGTTCAGTACTACAGAACAAAGTCCAGTTCTGGGCTGTGGTCTGCGTGGGTACCTGCAGAGGCCTAGAGGAATGAATGCCTGTTCTTCCAGTTGGCCTAAAAGCCTCTGAAATGTGCATCTAGAGTGCCTGTAGTTGGACTGTGGTGATGCTTTGTGCTGGTGACAAATAATACCTGTTTGTAGTGGACTAGCGGCCTATTTCACTTGAATTGTGCAGTTGTGATGGAGTTGTGTTGTCAAGATCCATCCAAACCCACAGATAAAGAGCCCTCCAGCTTTTCCCTGGCAGCCACCTTGCTGTCCAGCAAAACAGAGTTTTCAAAGCACGAATCGTCTTCCTCTTTTAAACACTGCCAAGTCAAATGGCTTTCAGACAGTTGATAAATAGTATATGGAGGCAGTAGGATTCTCCTTGGTTCTTCTCTTGTGTGTTTACCAACATAGTGCTAAAAGGAATACACTGATCAACATTATTGTATAGTAGATAGTAACAATATCTACATACAAGAAATGAAATGTCAGCAGTTACTGTAGCTGAGATTTTTGAGATGGGCACCTTTTAGTAGTAAGTAGAGATTCAAACAGATGGAATCACTTAGAGTAAATAAGTATGTCCTGAACGTGATTTTGGTGTATTTACATTCTTTATACAGATGAGTTGGAGTGTGGTTCTTTTCTGGAGAAAGGAATTGAAAGAATGCTAGCAAGACTTTTCTGTTGTTTTTCCTGGTTGGTTGATTGGGGTTTTGGTTGTTTGGGTCTTGGGGGGTGGGTTGCCTGTTTTGATAAACAGGCATTTGTTTGTTAAACCTGCTCTTTCTCTTATCTTTACATACGGAAGCTCTAGACCAAGATAGATGCTGGTAAAGCTCTTCTTTGAAATTTTCAGTTCGTAGCCTTGTAGATATTTATTCCAAAGGTCTGAGGAGGTTGTTTTTTTTTCCCTGCATTAATGTTCCTACAGATGTAATTTTTCTAAGCGGAGTAGAAAAAAAAATGTAAAAAATCAGGCAATGGGCACCATCCAAAAAGCAGGTAGTTAGCCAGGATGTGTTTGAAGGACATAATTGTGTACAAACTTGTGATTTAGTTTTTCCCCCCTCTTCTGTAACTGGAAAAAGGTACTAAACTGTAAATGTTGTTTCAGGTTCCTCTTTTTGATGATAATGCAAGTGAACAGTCAAAATCTACCCGGAGAAAGAGAGTGCTTCCATCTTGGATGCTGGAAGAAGATCTCCTGGTTGAGAGAATTTCTGAGCCTGTACCGAAAGGAGGTAGCTTTGCAGTGTGGTACATTTGCATGCCAGTATACACTTGTGTGCTTTGATACAATTTTCTTCAATTATAATGGTGGTGGTAGAAAGTAATGTGTTACTTCTCTTTCCATGCTCCATGCCTGGCAGCTGACAGAGACTGACTTCTGTTACCTCCTTTGTCATCAGTCCTACAGACATGACAGAGTTCTTTGTGATCAGTTGATTTTCTTTATGTTCCTTTCTTATTTTCTTTTTAATGCCAGGAATACACTGTCTTTGGACACCCTTTCCTATAAGCTATACAAATTCTGCGTAGTTTCTGTACCTTTAATTCCAAGCCTTCTCCACATTTAGGTCACTGATGTGTTGCCCTTCTAAATTTAGTTTCTTCCAGTTTCACAGGTCTTAAAGGTAGTTCTGTTTGTTTGTTGGTTTTTTTTTGTGATGATTGTGTTAGTTTTTTAACTATGACTGTGTCAAACTTGATCATTTAGTCCAAAGTTACTTCTAGGAGGAGCAGTTCATCACGGTTTCTATATAGTAACTATATTCTGTATTGTTTCATACCAATATGAGGCCAAAATAGAATTGCATTCCCTCTTGTCCTTTCCACAAAAGGGAATTGCTGAACATATGATAACATCCTGCTGCTGTGTATCAGCAGTAACAGCAGCAAAATACTGTGTTCAGTCACTATCAGTGGGAAACACAGGGATGCCACACTGGCACAGTCCCAAGAAAATTTTCTAGCATGTCTGGCTTTGGTCCTGGGAGCTTGTTAAAACTTCTAAAACTGCCATTAGACATCCTGTCACAAACTTGCCACAAGGCATTTATTGCTCTGATGACTTTTACTGATGGAACTGGAGGACTAAAGAAATGAGAGAAGGAAAATGGATATGTACAATAACAATTCTACCCCAGTGTTTCTGTCGTTCTCTGTGTGCCCCACCCTGCTTGCAGTCTGTGGTGAGGTGCGAGGTGGTTTAGATGCTGACTTTCCTCTCGTAGCCAGTGTAAGTGTATGAACTGTGGTTGGTTTGCACCTGTCTGCTTCTCCATGTCCCACAGCTATTCCTTAATGCCTCTCTCCCCATCTTCTATTTCTGCTAAGCTGGCGTAATGGAGAAATTTGGCTCTTGATGCCCAAGCAGGCCTGCAGAAATATTTCATACAGTGTCTGACCAATTGCTTCTTATCTCCTACAGTAAATGCAGGTGTCTGGGTGGATTGACCCAGACAACGGTGGCTTTAAAAACGTCTGTCATATGACAGTGCACGCCCTGCCTGTTCCTTTCTTCAGAAGCTAATTCTGAGAAACTATCTTTTATTTTTTCTTTCACCTTTCTTTCCCTTTTCAAACCTGTACTGCTCCATGCTGACTTACTGCCTCAGATGTAAAAATTGCGTGCACAAGAGGACTTCCACTGGCTGAGTCCTTCACTAATCTCATTGTTTTCTTTATGTTTGGGTTGGTTTTTTGAGGTTTGTTTGTGTTTTTTTTTGTTTGTTTGTTTGTTTTTAGCAAGTACTATCATGTTTGTTATATATGTGCATTTAAGGTTTGTATTAAAGACTGAAGGTTTTGGTCATGTAGGAGATTTGGAGCTGTGAGGGTGTCCTGGGTTCAGCAGTGGCAGTCATTTTTCTCCTTAGTAGCTAGTGCAGTGCTGTGTTTTTTGACTTTCAGCCTGGGAACAGTGCTGATAACACCAATGTTTTTAGTTATTGCTAAGTCATGTTTACTCTGACCAAGGACTTTCTGAGTCTCATGGTCTGCTGTGGAGGAGGGGAAGCTAGGAGGAAGCAGAGACAGGACACCTGACCCAAACTAGACAAAGAGGCATGACGTGCTGTGATATGGAATACCTACTATATAAACTGGGGGTAGTAACCATCAAGGGCAAGATCGCTGCCGGGGTTGGGCTGGGTATTGGTTGGCAGGTGGTGAGCGGTTGTATTCTCTTCCTTTCTTATTTCCCTTATTATTATTATTATTATTGGTGGTAGCAGTAGTGGTTTTGTGTTATACCTCAGTTACTAAACTGTTCTTATCTCAACCTGTGGAAGTTACATTTTTTTGATTCTCCTCCCCATCCCTCTGGGAGCAGAGGGAGGAAGGGGAGGGAGTGAACAAACTGCTATGTGGTACTGAATTACTGGCTGGGCTTAAACCATGACAGAGGGAAAGGGCAACAGCTGTGTGCTGTCAAAGGCCTGATCTTGAAGAAGCTAGAGACACAACCACTGTCGGAGCTGTTTAAAAAAATCATTATGTGAAATCATGATTCTAGCTTAGAATGGGCTGCTGTAATAAAACAACTAATCTCTTCTGTATATCTAAAGTACTCCCTTAAAATTGTGAAACAATTTGCATATTTTTAGGGTTGTATTGGATGGGAAGGTAGAAAAGTTGAGAACAAAACTAAAAGGCTGCTCTTTCATTCATTTGGTTTTTTTTTTGTCTGTCTTCTACTGGAAAGGTAACGCTAATCTATGGTTTTAAAATTGGGTGTTAAAATTTGGAAAAATTCCTTCTTTCATACACATGACTTTGGCATGTCAGTATTTTTTGAAGGGGAAGAGTTTTTGAAGTCTTGCAAAATGGCATCAAATATCTTCCTTCTGAATGCATTTTGCAGCAGGTGGAGCTGTAAGACAAGCAGGACAATGGCCTTAGCTGTCTCCCAGCTGTGTATCCAGAAAATAGTACTTCAGTACAGAGATCTTACAGTTTTCTGAGGTGTGAAGCTGTCCAAAGAGAGGCACAACATTTGCTGCCTTTCTGTTGGTTACTGGCTGATGAAATAATCAGCCATGGTGTGGTTGACTAGGCAAGTGGGCATACACGGATTTTGCCATGTCCTAATTGATGTTTGCTTATATAACCTGATAGTCTGAAGTGATACTTGCATGATACGTCTGTGGTAAAAGTTATTCTTGGACATGTGGTTTACTTGAAGAATGTCCCATGTGTAAATGAAATTGTCAATGTTACTGATACAGTCAGTCCAGACCAATCTTTGCCATGTATTATTTTCCTCCAAATTCAGTCCAGAACATCCTTTGCCACGTGTTTATTGTTTTCTTCCAAATTTTCCCCTCAAGCATCTGTTTTATTCTAAAATATATTTTTTTTTTTTACTCCTATAAGTGGGAAGTGAAATATATACTGTTGAAACAGCATATGCACAGCTGCTGCTATTTCTCATGCTTTTGTTCAGTGTTCTCCTTTGCTTTAGATTTCTAACATGATAAGGATTTTCTTGTAAAATTGCATTCTAAAAGTACCCTTTTGTTTTTCTTTTAAGGTAATAGAATGAAAAAAGGGCAAGGATGGGGAGAAAGTAATATGAAGTCATTAGAATCAGAAGTAAATGTGCAGCAGAAAAAAAGATCAGTTTCTGAAGAAACTATGGAGGATTTTGAAGGTGAAGAGGAAGATCAAAAGAAAAGAAGCTGTCTTTCCATCCCTGTTCCTTCATCTCGGGTAATTATTGAGAGTGTAGTTGGCAATGTCATGTTGAAGGTTGGGTCTACAAACAGAAGTATGTGTTCTGTTTGTGATTTGTTCTTTACTGGTTGTTTTGAAATGCCAGTCCATTGGCCAGGTCTATGGCAAGGATTATGGAAGCCTTCAGAGTCTTGGGTTTCTAACACTTCCTTCTCAGGATCTGGGACTTAGGCCCCAAATGTTCCAATAGAAATACCAGACTTTCAGCTTTATAGCAAGAGGCTGGAAGACATGGGCCAATGTACTGTTTCTAGGAGTGGCTTGGTGTGTGGTTTCTTCTTTCTGAAAACTCTTCAGGGACAGGTGATGGTATGACACTGTTGTAATGCAACATTGGACTTTGTCCATACTAGAGCCATTGTAGTTGGTGAAGTTTTATGATCAGAAAATCAGGGTATGTGGCTCAGCAGCTGCTGTGTTTTGAAGAAAGGTAGCATGGAGTGTGCTTATGTCACTATCTTAAAATCTGAGCCAAAAAAGGGAGGAAAAAAAACCCCTGATATCCAAAATAAGCTGTGGCAATGAGCGAACAGATACTTCAGCCCAGCTGGTCAACCCCTGTGTTTTCTCAAAGTACAGCTGTGTTTACAGGCAGTTAAAGACTTGGTGGTAGCACCCTGCTAGTAATGAAAAGAGAAGGATCATTATCGAAGACAAACAAACTATATTCTGGTGAGAGCAGACAGAGGCTTTCACTGACGTTTCCTTTACGTGAACAACCTGGGGAGGTTTTCCTAATGTCTAACATTAGAATTGCCTGGATCTGTTCTAGGATCTGATAAAATACTATTATTTGGTATGCATTGTTGTTTTTGACACTGAAAACTATTGGGGTTTTGGTTTTGTTTTTTTTTTTTTAATTAAGCTTAAGGATAGTTGAAATGATCTACTCATGGAGAGCATGCCCTGCCAGGGTGGTTTTGCTGTAACATAGTGGTATCTTTATCTGAAAAGAGCAGTGAGCTTTGTTGTTGACTAGCTACATTAATACCAGCTGCAGTGACTACATAATAAATTACTTCATTTTGCAATTTTTAAGTGTAAAGCTTTACTTATGTTCTCCTAATAATTTAATCAGTCATTTTTATCCCAAGCACAGTGTTAAGAAATTGCCTTCAGAACTTTGCAGGAAAAAACAACGGGTTAGTGCAAGCAAAAGTAATAATCAGAGACAGCTCTGTAAGACTGGAGTTTTGGTATCAAAATCATGCTCCTGCTGTTATATTTAAGGTGATTGAGAAAATCTGCTGAAGGGTAGGAAGTAAAAAGGGTGTTAATTCTTCTCAGGGCCAGCAGCCGCCAGGTGGCAATGAGGTCACATACGAGCTAGAACCAGGGCCAGCAGTGCTGTTGGCTTCAGTTTTCCTTGATTGCAACCTGCTTTTACTTAGTACCTAATAAATGTGGAAGTGTTTGGTCTCATTATATGCAACAGAGGCAGTGGATTGAAATGTGTAGTAGACGAGTTGCAAATGGGAGTGTCAAATTAATTTAGTCCTCCTTTTGTTAATGAAACTGCAGTTGTTTTTTGAGCCTGATTTTTGTGAGTGTTGGTAAGAGTCATCTTTGTCTCCAGTTGAATTACTGAATATGCTGCTGTCAGGGTCAGTTGATACTAATGTGGACTTTGCCCTTTCTTAATCACATTCCATCTCAAATCTAGTCGTCTCTGCTTTTGGTTAACCATTTTATGCGGCTTGCAATAAAAGGAACAATATAAAATAGGAAACCACCAACTGATTTTCAAGCTCTGCCAAACACATGTATAAACTAGGTATAAATTAACTGGAGGGGAACTTAAGATAGTCATGTTTTAAAGCAGTTCAGCCTTCAGTATAGGTATGCTTTCAGGTAATACGTCAGTTGTTAGGACAATGTTCCTTTCTTCATTATGCATCTCATACTTCTTTTTAAAGCACACATCTCTTATTATAAATGTATATTGCACCAAAATTTAAAATGCACCACTTGTCAAAACTGAAATCTTTGCCTGATGGTATTTACTGTCAAATTTTTATGATTTAGAGTCACAAGCTGAGGCATTTAAGATGTATTGTGGTAGGATTAAGCTCAGTGTATAAATCATGAATTCCCATGTATCTCTCATATGGTATTTTATGTAGAGAAATATATATTCCATATATCTTGATACTTGAGGGATTAAAATTGAATCTTTTATTGAAATGTGTGTTTTTCTAGATCCTACTGTATCTTCACACATATAATCTCGATTCATTTTTCAGGATCAGTATTTCTAATAAATATTTTAAACTAAAGTCCTTGGATTATCCACAAACTGAGGAAGTGAGAGGAGCCTAACTCCAGTGTGAGGAAAATGGAGCAGAGGATGGTTGCTCTTGGATAAGTTTTTCTTTAAAGTGTGTGTGTGTGTGTGTGTGTGTACTTCACGCGAGCCTTTCATTCAGCAGCTCTATTTAGCAGCTAACTGGAGTTTGGGAAGTGGAGCAGAAGATTTTAAAGGCTGGACCAGACTTTTCTTTCAAGGTCCTTTCCAACCTGGGCTGTTCTGTGATTCTCTGATTTTGAAAATGATAAGGCAGAGTTTGACCTTAAAGCTTTTAATTCTGAAGAGTGTAAATTTTCAGGTTCTTCAAAATGTAACCTTGTTCCACAGAATACATCTGGATTTCCTCTTGAGAATACCATGAGAAACATGGAAGGCAATGGCAAGACTGGATCAAAAAAACATGGAAGTTCTCTGGAAAAAAATGATAGGCAGCTGAATAGTAAACGGTCCAAAAAAGTAGGTCAGATCTCCAGTAAAGACAATAGAATTGAGGAAACAGAAAACAAAGAGCCGATTACTGGTTCTCCAAGCCAACAAGCTCACTGGGGCAGGACTTCCCAAAATTTTGATGCCCAGGAAGGGATTCTTGAGCCTGATGCAAATCTGGATTATGAGACTGAAAATTCTGATTCAACCAGAAGTGCAGATGCTTCAGAAAGCTCCAGACAAATCAAGCGTAAGAGGACACCTTGCATGTATGGATCAGGCTGTTACAGGTAAAGCAAAATTAAACTAGCTTAAGCTGGCTTGTTATTAAGAAGTAATGTATTAGCTAAGGAAGAGGAAACAGTAAAGTTGTTAAAAGCTTTGATTTGAAAATAAAACTTTTGGTAAAAAGAGGACTGATGAGAAGCAAATGGTGTAACAAGAATTTTTGAAATATGAAAGGAGGAGCCAGGATGTCTTGCATTAGCAGGTAACTGTTAATATAACCCAAACAAGGGATGAAGTACTTCAGCAAATGAAAAGATGAAGTGGTGTAGGAAATAAGAAACAATAATAAGAAAAAGGTCCATTTTAAAAAGAAAACAAAACCCATGTGTGTATGGTACAGGTACGAGGGGGAGAAGAGATGTAGATGGTTGAAATGAGCAACAGGCTGGTTTTATTAGCAGATGAAACTTTTTTGAAAGATGCTTGTATTTATTGAACTTATTGCATGCTTTGTGATCTGAATACTTTAAATACCTATTCATCATCTGTATTTTTTTTTAAGCTTTCAGTCCTCCTAAAACCAGAACAAGGAATGCTTATGAACTCCATATTAACCCTTATCTGCTTAGTGTCTTTGGTAATATTTCAAGTGAAGAGCAGTATTTTTTTTTTAACTCTCTCTTCTACTACTCATTACCTCTCAATTTATGGTGAAATATAGAAATGTTTTGTGTGATACAAATAGTCCAGAGAAGCTCAAAACCACTAGTGCTGAGTGCTAGCAAATGACCAGTGACCTGAGAAGTGCATTTAGGAGAAGGTTTTGAGCTCTAGATAATTCATGTTTATTATAAGCACAAAAGGTAAGGGTAATCCAGAAAACAGGGGGGATGGGAGGAGTGGTGTGTGTGTCCTGTGATTTCTTCTTATTATTAGCAGTTATTTTCTTCTTTTTTTTTCTTTTCCCCCAGTGGGCTTGAGCAATAGGAAAAAAACAAGAAGGTTTAGAAAACAAAGAAGCACAAGTAGATAGATGGCTTACTGTGTGTGTGAGGTGTGCCTACTGCTGTGGGTAACTGTATATCAGTAGCATAAAGCTGTTGTGTTAATGAACACATCAGACTTCCACTTTTCATGTACCTTTCTTTCACATATCTCAATTTTTGCCCTTAAGGATTATGTTGCGAACACGTTTTTTTATTAGGCAGTTAAGCTGATCCAGTAGTACAAATGCAGCCTCTAGTTTGCTCTAGCTACCTTTTATTTTGCTCAGACAAGTTTTTCCTTGTATTGTGTGGGCTAAGCTGGTTTAATGCTCTGATATGGTGAAGTATTGCTAATGTTTAGGAAAGCAGGTTTTAGTTACAGGTAATATGGAATAGGAGTTGGCATGTGCACATTTCTTCTTGGGTTTTTATTCTAAAACATTGACAGCAGTACTTTCGGAAAGTGTTGCGTTACAAGAAAAAAGAATGCTCTGAAATAACACATAACAAAATCTTACTTTGCCAGAGAATATTTCTAAGTAGGAAATATCAAAACCATCAGCTTTGATCTTCAGGAAATGTCCGGGGACTAAACCTTTTTGTTTGCAGCAAAAGAAATGTGCTTTGTAGTCTGTTTTAATATTTGGTTTTGGATGCAAGACCACCAAGTAGTCTTTCTGTGTTGATAGGATAGCTGTGTTAGAGTAAAGCAAATCACTCAGTTATCCACATTTTTGAAAGCACATACCAAAGTGTGACATGAGTGGATACTTTGAAGGAGCACACTGATAGCATATGCACGGTTTTCCGTTCCATAGTGTTTTTCTTGTGCAAAAACTAGTTTTAGAGTTGTGAAGGAAGAGGAGTTGCTTTGAGTACAACAGGTAGTTGGTTTCTTTCTCCTTCATGACTTTTAACTTTGTGAAAGGTGTCTTCAAACAAGAACATCTAATAAGTCAACATCTTAAATGAGTACTGCATTAGTAACCATAGCATTTCCCTGAAGTTTTGTTTTTCTAGGTGAGGTTCCTTATTCATAAAATGTTATTGATCCAATAACTACATGCTCTTCAGTGTTGTAGTTTTTATTTTGTACTCTCATATTAAGATATACTTGTGTTTTGGATAGAACTCCAGCATGTTTGGTACATGCTTAGTAAAGTAGCATAAATTGAAAAGATTAAATGTTCTATTAATTTTATTAGATTTCTCGAACATCTTAAACATCTAGGAGATAACTTTGTAACTCATAGTTCAGTTTCTGAATTTATTAATTTGAAAATGCTGCTTTTGAAAGACTCAAGCTTCATGCACACCTCTCACTCCAGGGATGCTTCTTTTCATTAACCTTCAGGGTCAGATTCTGAGATAGCCTGAAGCTTTACCACATTGAAAGAAACTGCTGTTAGGAGGCAAGTGTTTTGTGTGTGTTGTATCTGGCTATGTTTGTTGTCAAGGAAGTTACTCTTTCAGCACTCTCTTCTGTACATTTTCTTGTCTGCTGCTTGTTTTTCAAAGTTAGAAGAATAGGAAATTAGAACTAAAAATAGATCCAAACCCACCCCTCAAGGGCTGCATAGAAGGGGTGTGGTAGACCTGTTCTCTGCTGATTGGGTGTGTAGAAAGCGTTCTCACAGCTGTCAAAGCAGGGCATGCTCAACCAGCCTTTGGGTTTGTATGCGCATTCTTCTAAATGCTTTGCTCCTTGTTTATGAAGATAAGTATTTTTCCTTTCACCTTAAGCTTGTAAATCTGTCAGCTGAAAACCTGTATCTGTCTTTTTTTTTGAGTCTTGTGGTGTAATAGACAATATAGAACTTAGAAACATGTTACATGCAGTTGTGGCATAACCTCAGGTTTGAATTCTGTGGCTTTATAACTAATGCTGCTAATTCATTACATTTTCACTACCAGTTTCCTTATTAGCTAGAAAATACCCCTTAAGATGTCAGGGCTCTCTGCTTGTGATTATGAAGAGCCGGGGATTCTTAACTAATCAATTAAACTTGCTTTAGGAAAAGCTTCTAAGTATCTTTTGGTAGCTGCACAGATGAAAAACTGTCTTAAATGTTTCACTAGGCAATATGCAACTTCTGCTTGAGATGACCACATTGATTCTGAAGAACTTGATAAGTTTTATTTGCATAACTTTTATTTGCATAATTTTTTGCATCATCAAGGGTAAGTGCACAAATCCAGAGCTGCTGTAAAAGCAAAGTTGCAGTAAGTGTGTTTGAGAAGGCAACTGTTGTAAGACTTTATTCTTAAAAGAGTTTTCTAATTGGTTGATTTTTGTGCGAATATAATTTGGTTTTGATCGAATGAATAACATATTCCTGTGCAGTGAGGTTTTGTGGTAAAACTAATTAGCTTCAGAGTGCAACTTACACAGAGTGATAGATGTGTTCTTACCACTCCAATCCCTTGTGCCCAAAAAAGAAAAAATAAAAAAACCTCAAACAAGCCAAACCCTTAATAAGAGGAAGAGGCTTTAGATTTTTGCATGGAGGGAAAATGTTTGCTTTAATATAAGCTACGCACTTCTGTGCTTCTGTTTATTTTGCTGGATGTTGTTGCACAACACATAGAAGTGGAATGAGTACAAATTATCCAGGTAAAGGTAAGATAAAATAAGATGTTTCTAATAGTCCTGAGTGTCTGAAGCAGGACATGTGTAAGGCACTTCATAGGTAACATATAATTTGAGGATCATCATCAACTGGTCCAAAGAAACCTGAAGCCCTGTGATAGGGAGCATACATCAAGATGCTTTTGTTTCTTTTTTTTTTTTTTTGAAAAGAAATGGATATCTCCTGAAATACAATAGGTTGGATAATGAACAGCTATTAGGCCTTCTTTCCTTGGTGACTATGATGCTACATTTATTTTACTATAGGAATGAATTAAATACAATCATAGAATGGTTTGGGTTGGAAGGGTTCTTAAGGATTGTCTAGGTTCAAGCACCCTGCCACAGGCAGGAACACCTTCCACTAGGCCAGATTACTCAAAGGCCAATCCAGCCTGGCCTTGAGCACTGCCAGAGGTGAGGCATCCACAATTTCACAGAACATTGGTTGCTTCTGTATCCCTTTTAGGTGGTGAATTTTGTTTCAAATTACTGCAAATTCTTGCTGGTATTGCTAATACTAAGTAAGCTCTATGCATTCAGAAAACAAAGCAAGTAGCCTCTAAAATGACTTGTTCTCATCTCATTTATTTTTTAAATGGGAAAAAAAGTAGGCAGCCAATCTGTGCTTGGTGTAAGAAGTGATGTTTCCTGAGAAATTATTGTTGAAGACTGGTAAATGCAACCTTACAATTATGTACTTTACTGTAAAGTTCTTTACTGTGAGGGTGGTGAGGCACTGGAATGGGTCCTCCAAAGAAGTGGTAAATGCTCCATCCCCTGACAGTGTTCAAGGCCAGATTGGACAGAGCTTTGGGCGACATGCTCTTGCATGAGGTGTCCCTGCCTATGGTAGAGGGGTTGGATCTAGATGATCTTAAAGCCCTTTCCAACCCAAACCATTCTATGATTCTCTGATTTTTAGTGAAACTGTATTTACTTACCCAGTAGTCTGCAGAATTAACAGAAAAGACTGGGACTATAAGTCTGTCGCCTGTGTAAAGAGAGCCAAGAGACATTGGTTCTTTCCTAAGTAGCGCATGAAGGAGTTCATCTGTAGCTTTCTTGTTGAGTTTCCTGAGTGGAAGATGCCAGGCAAATGGAGATTTTAAAGTATTAATACTAAATACCTATTTTTTTCAGATGCCTAAAAGGAGGCCTGAATGACCAGTATTGCTCACAATGCTTAAGTAATCATTTTGCAAAAGTTGTAACAAAAGCTTTTGTTGAAAATGGCAGTAGTTGAAATGCTGAAATTAGTATTTACTGTTGCTTATAAAGTTCCTAACAGGTCATTTTAAATTTAAAGGAAAGAATGCCTGTGGTGGATGAGGGAGCTGTTGTGTATGTAGCTAGCTACATAAATGTTTCTGGCTTTGTGTTTCTAAATGCATCTGTAACAAGTGTAAATTAAAGCAGTAAGTACTTTGCAGTTCAAAGTTGTTCTTCCTGCTTGGGGCAAGCAGTTCACTTTTATAATTTGCACACACTGAAGGTTATGTACGCTGGGAATTAGTGTGGTGAATTACTGAAGTATTTTGTGGATGCCTTTTGGAAAATCATTTATTAAATTAGCTCATATTTCTTGCTTTTAAATATTATGCTTGGAAAAAAAAAAAGCATCCTTAAAATAAATTGTCGGGGAAAAGTAGATTTGCTGTTGGTACCAGTATGTTCACTTTGACATAATGTTTTGTAGTATGTTTTGATCAGTCACGTGGGTTTCTCCTGAAGTCCTAATGTGTTATTCTCTGTTCTTTTCAACATCACTTGCAGAAGTTTTATAAAGCAAATGTTTCTCTAAGTGATGTTTATGGCTGCTTTGTGTGGTATGGTTGCAGTCAAAGCTGTTTCCCAGAAGCAGAATTGTTCTTTCAGTGGTGTGTATATTGGTATTCAATACTTGCTCACCTTGGATTCAGCTACGTAAGTGTGGTAGAGCAAGAAGTTGTGGATGCTGATAATGTGCTATCATCGCTAGCACTGGTGTGATTCAACTACATGCAGAGTAGTTATGTTGTATGATACATTGCTGTAATTTGATACTTCAAATGAAATGTCATGGTAGCCAAAGCAAACTTGACAGCATAATCAATGCAATGTCCAGCAGACTGCTCCATCTAGAATAATATTCTGTCATTGAAAATATTCAAGTAGGTAGGAACTCGCATACAGAACAGAAATAATAGAGCCTGAGCTAACAGGCAATCCCTCAAGGGTGTGGGGAGTCTTCAAATTCAGCAGTTTTTCTGCTGCGGTGTGTTGGCTCTTCCAGTTTGAGCTAAGACTTCAGCAATGTTTTCCATGGCGTTTCAATAGCTCCAGAGGGAATCGTGACTCAGCAAGTTGGCCACTGCGTAAGAGTCATGTTATAAGACTACATCAGTAGATTGTGTATGTGTTGGGGGTCTGAAACTTAAAGCTGATAGCAAATAGGAAAATCTGTGATTTACCCTCTTTTGCAGCATATGCTGAGAAAAAACTTTTTTCCTGTTGTCCTGAAAGGAGGTCTTACATTTTGCATAAAGTTGAATATTAAGAGCTTGTCTTTGTGTAACCACAGAAAAATGAGTTGACGCTGATTCAGTAACACCTTTCTTATCTTTACTTCTTGTGTTTAAATGGAACAGTCAGTTCTCAATATTTATTTTTTTGCAGGAAGAATCCCGTTCACTTTCAGCAGTTCAGTCACCCTAATGATGATGACTATTATGAAACAGAGATCATAGCTCAGGATAACAATGATAATCGGCCTGAATGTCCATATGGAACAGCTTGTTACAGGTAAGAAATGCTGTACAAAATGGGTTATCTTGTTTTACAGGTTAAGAATGTTCTCCCCTGGAGTTGCAAAATGACAATAGAATAAAGAGTAATTCTTGATGTTAAATCTTGACTGTAGCCTTCTGAAATTTACTGCAGACAGACTGTTGCCTTTAAAGCACCAGAGCCTGTGTGAGCTGATGAACGTGGAAACTTGACTCCTGGAAACTATTCAGTGGCCTAAAGATCAACACTTTTCAGTTGCCAACATCTATTAAACTGTTCTTCTTTTATATAAGCAATAATATATTGTTATATGCTCTTGATACATAACTTTTAGCTTAAATTTTGGTAAAGTATTTGTTGAGATTTTGTACAGGACCTCTTAATCCATATTTGATTTGTTAGAAAACATAATTTAGTCACAGCAATAAAATCCAGTTTATGGCTGACTGCTGTTTTTGTTAAACACTACAGATTTTCCTCAAAAGATTGTTTTATTCCATTTGTTTCCAAATATCTAGGGTTTACACTTTTATTTAGCGGAGTTTAATGGCTGCTGTATAATTGATAAAATGGACAAAGAGATATATTTTGAGGCAATGACACTTCTGTGGGGGTATATTGAAGATAACAGTTGCTGTGAATAAAGATTGTGCTTGAGCAGAAACAGTTTCTCCTGTCTCCAGGAAAGTGTGGTGATCCTAAAGAGTGTGTTCTCGCTGAAATGGAACAAAAAAGACTGTAACTTTTAAGAAACAGCCATGTTATATTGAGCTAATGCAGAGAAAGTATTTCTCTTCTGAAAAGCATATATGAGATGAATTTCTCATCCTGGGATGAGAAATCAGGCTTTATAACAGTAGTGAAATCACCAACATCCTTTTCAGGAGTACAAGAGATGCTTTATCCAAAACCAAACTCTTCCTTCCAGATAAGAACACCTCTGTGCTGTATTAATTGATCATTTCTTAATCTGTTTCATTCTTTCGTGGGTAGAAGCAAGGAGGCACCCATGAAGCAATGATAATTCTATCAACAAAACAACATGTAATTTGAAGGGGTTTTGTGTTACATTTGTTATGTTTATCTGTTGGTTACTATTTGAAGGGAGCATAACTGAATGATCAAGACTCTGTGCCTTGGGTAGGGATTGAATGGTCTGATGCTCGTGACAGTAGTAAACCACTGAAATAGGCAATTCTTCATGTTTCAGTACAGTGTATTTAGTGGGAAGCTGTACTTCCATTTTTTTTTATTCAGATAGCCATCACTTGTAATGCACACATAATCTACTTTGGGACAGGAGTAGCTATAGAATTGTAAATCAAGTTGAAGCATGTGAATTTGTCCCAGGTTATTTGAGATAAAACCAGGTTTTTCTACTGAGGACTGACTGTGCTCTGTTTTTGGAAAATAAGAGAACATAAATAAGCAACTAGTTCTAGAGGCAGTCTTCACAGCAAGGGTATTTTGTAAAATAGAGCAAAAGTTTCTGGAGCTGTAGAAATGGATTTCAAGTTTCAAGCATGTCACATCTATCAGTTTTTATCTCACTGAACAAATGCATCTAATTTTACAACTTTGGAAACTATCTCATATCTTGGTTTTGATTAGACATCTATTTTTTTTTAATGCTGTAACAAGAGGAAGACTTTAACCTGATTTGTATTTTCTCACTCTATAGTCTATAAGCTGAGATGCTGCAGTAAGGCACTGGTCACAGAATTTTATTTTTAAAAGTAATGAAAATGATTCATGAAATACCAAGGAGTTTTGGACCAAAAAAACTAAGGAATTTTGGTCTTGGTAAGTGTGGAACAAGGTAGTGAATCAAGCTTATATGGTTTTCTTCTTTGCAGGAAGAATCCTCAGCACAAGCTAGAATACAAGCACACTGCACCTCCAGGTAAGAACATTTGTTCAATGCAGCTCAAAGTCAAGGGGAAAACCCCCCAAACCCATCAACAAATACAAAAAATACTCGTAATAAAATGCTTTCAGCTACTGTGAATAGATGAATAACACTGCATTTGTAGCTTACTCTGTATTACCCTGCACCCTTGCTTTTCTCAAGTATGAGGTCTTGCCTGTAGAACCATAGAATCGTTAGGGTTGGAAAGGACCTTAAGATCATCTAGTTCCAACCCCCCTGCCATAGGCAGGGACACCTTACACTAAATCATACCACCCAAGGCCTCGTCCAACGTGGTCTTGAACACTGGCAGGGATGGAGCATTCACAACCTCCCTGGGCAACCTATTCCAGTGCCTCACCACCCTAACAGGAAAGAACTTCCTCCTTATATCCAACCTAAACTTCCCCTGTTTAAGTTTTAACCCGTTACCCCTTGTCCTGTCACTACAGTCTCTAATGAAGAGTACCTCTCCAGCATCCCTATAGCCCCCCTTCAGATACTGGAAGGCTGCTATGAGGTCTCCACGCAGCCTTCTCTTCTCCAGGCTGAACAGCCCCAACTTCCTCAGCCTGTCTTCATATGGGAGGTGCTCCAGCCCCCGATCGTCCTCGTGGCCTCCTCTGGACTTGTTCCAACAGTTCCATGTCCTTTTTATGTTGAGGACACCAGAACTGCACACAATACTCCAGGTGAGGTCTCAGGAGAGCAGAGTAGAGGGGCAGGATCACCTCCTTCGACCTGCTGGTCACGCTCCTTTTGATGCAGCCCAGGATACGGTTGGCTTTCTGGGCTGTGAGCGCACATTGAAGCCGACTCATGTTCATTTTCTCATTGACCAACACCCCCAAGTCCTTCTCCACAGGGCTGCTCTGAATCTCTTCTCTGCCCAACCTGTAGCTGTGCCTGGGATTGCTCCGACCCAGGTGTAGGACCTTGCACTTGGCATGGTTAAACCTCATGAGGTTGGCATCAGCCCACCTCACAAGTGTGTCGAGGTCCCTCTGGATGGCATTCCTTCCCTCCAGGGTATCAACTGAACCACACAGCTTGGTGTCAGGTGTCATCGGCAAACTTGCTGAGGGCGCACTCAATCCCACTGTCCATGTCAGCGATGAAGATGTTGAACAAGACCGGTCCCAACACTGATCCCTGAGGGACACCACTCATTACTGGTCTCCAGCTGGACATTGAGCCAGTGACCACAACACTTTGTGTGCGGCCGTCCAGCCAGTTCTTTATCCACCGAGTGGTCCATCCATCAAATTGATGTGCCTCCAATGTCTCATGTCTCATCTACAAGGATGTCGTGTGGGACAGTGTCGAACGCTTTACACAAGTCCAGGTAGATGACATCAACTGCTCTACCCCTGTCCATCAGTTCTGTAGCCCCATCATAGAAGGCCACCAAATTGGTCAGGCAGGATTTCCCCTTAGTGAAGCCATGCTGGCTGTCACCAAGCACCTTGTTGTTTTTCATGTGCCTTAGCATGCCTTCCAGGAGAATCTGCTCCCAGATTTTGCCAGGCATAGAGGTGAGACTGACTGGTCTGTAATTCCCCGGGTCATCCATTTTCCCCTTCTTGAAAATGGGGGTTATATTTCCCTTTTTCCAGTTGTCAGGAACTTCACCTGACTGCCATGATTTCTCAAATATGATGGTCTCGAACCAGTTCCTCTCCTACAGTGGGTCCAAGGTCTTCATTCTCACAGTCCCTGCATCTGCCTTCCAAGACTTGGGTGGTTTGGTCAGAGCCTTTGCCAGTGAAGACCGAGGCAAAGAAGTCATTCAGAACCTCAGCCTTCTCCAAATCCTGTGTAGCCAGTTCTCCCGAGAGCTTCCTGAGGGGGCCTACATTCTCCCTAGTCTGTTTTTTACTTGGTATGTACCTGTAGAATCCCTTCCTGTTATCTTTAATACCTCTAGCTAAGTTTAATTCTAACTGGGCCTTAGCTTTCCTAAGCTGGTCCCTAGCTTCCTGGACAACATCCCTGTACTCTTCCCATGCCGCCTGTCCTTGCTTCCACTTATTATAAGCCTCTTTTTTCCTTTGAATATTCCTCAGGAGCTCCTTATCCATCCAAGGAGGTCTCCTGGCCCTCCTGCTGCATTTCCTTCTGGTTGGGATGCAACACTCCTGAGCTTGCAGCAGGTGATCCTTGAATATCAACCAACAGTCTTGGGCCCCCCTGCCCTCTAGGACTGTATCCCATGGAACCTTACTAAGCAGGTTCCTGAAGAGGCCATAGTCTGCTCATTTGAAGTCCAGGGCAGTGAGCTTGCTGCACATTCTTCTCACTGTCCTGAGGATCTCAAACTCGAGCATCTCGTGATCGCTGCATCCAAGGCTGCCCTGAAGTGTCACATTTCCAACGAACCCTTCCCTGTTGGTGAGCACGAAGTCAAGCATGGCACCTCTCCTTGTCGGCTCCTCTGTTACTTGCAGAAGGAAGTTGTCTTCTACACAATCGAGGAACCTCCTGGATTGCTTGTGCCAGGCCGTACCGTCCTTCCAACAGATGTCGGGGTGGTTGAAGTCACCCATGAGAACAAAGGCCTGCGAGCGTGAGGCTGTTCCTATCTGTCTATGGAGTGCTTCATCTGCAGGTTCTCCTTGATCAGGCAGTCTGTAACAGATCCCCACAGTAATGTCTCCCATAGCTATATTCCCTTTAACCCTGACCCACAAACTCTCTGTGGACTGCTCACCTGTCCCCAGACAGAGTTCCATACTCTCCAGCCTATCCCTAACATAAAGGGCAACTCCCCCTCCCCGCCTGTCGGGCCTGTCTTTTCTAAAGAGCCTGTAACCTTCCATTCCAACACTGCAGTCATAGGAGCCATCCCACCATGTTTCTGTGATGCCTATTATGCCATACCCCCATAGATGTGCACACATCTCTAATTGCTCTTGTTTGTTCCCCATGCTACTGGCATTTGTATAGAGGCATCTGAGCTGAGCTCCAACTGAAGCCGGCTCATTGGCTGGAGCAGCTGGGATACCTCTGTGGTAAGGAGGATTCTTGGCCACTGCAGACTTGCACTCTCTTTTACTCATGTTTCTCAAGTGAAGAGAGTTAGGCTGGCTCAGACACAGCTGACATGGTTTGGATGATTTGTATCTTAGGAATTGACAAAAATGCCATGTGACAAGTGGCTATTTTCATGAGTTATAGGTTTTATTGAAAATTAAACACGGTATAGTGTGACATTCCTGGATCTCTGTATTCGACTTCATTCAGAGCTGAAGTATTACAATGAAAAGAGGGAATATATTTAGGTGCTACTGAAGTATTTCTCTACATTTTGGGTGGATACTGCTGTAAATTATTTTTATAACTTTTCTCCCATCCCTATGGCAAATTATATACAGAGAAATATTTTATGCTTTATAAAGATTTATGATTTTATACCTTTTATTCTTTTCTTTTGATAGGAAATCCTCAGGTAGCATACAATTTTTCAAGTCTTGTGATGCTCTAAAGCAAACATTACAAGCATATCTGTCATCTATTTTTTTAGTTTTATTTATTTTTAACCAGTGTTTTTCTTACTGAGAGAACAAAGTTTTGCAGATATGTTCTCTTGAGGCTTGGAGGGAATATAATTAAAAATGAATCTGAATTTCTATTAAGAAATATTCTACTCCTGTTTTATGTTCCAGTAATGAGGCTTTTTGAAAAACACGGGAATGTACTGTTTACATTTTGTCTGTTCTTAAAAAATTCAGAGGGATACTTTGCATTTTCTTGGGCTTTTTCTTGATTATTTGGACTTGGAGATCTTTTCCACTTGAAATCCCAATGCAGTAAACAGTAGTTCAGAGCAGAACAGTTAAGGAAATGTAATGGCAAGGTATTTTACTTTAAAGAATCTGGATTATGGTATTATTATGGAAAAATTGCATTTATGGAAACAATGCTGTAAAATACTTAAATGTTTTGATATGTCAATTTTCTGCCTAAAAAAATCCCTGAACCAATGTTAATGACATTTGTCTCCAGATGGTGTGGTTCATAATTGTAAGAACAGTTCATCTGGATTTTTTTTGGGCAGCAGAATATTTTTCATACTGTAGATAGAGCAGAACCATTGCAGCCTTAATTTTAATAGGTCAGTGTTCTGTTGTAGCAAACTCTATGAATAACTCTTGTGCTAGGCTGTAGTCTGTCCTGACTTATACCTTTCTTTTCTTTAGTAACTGAAAGAGCAACCCGACAAAGAACTTCAAAAAATGGTGAGTATATTCTAATGTTATAAATGGGCACATCAGCATGAGACCACACATCTGCAGTGGTTTTCTGGCATTTAATAGTGCTGGAGATGCTTGGTAATATTTACCTGAAGTAGTTGTTATTTTAGTAAAACCCAGCTTGCTTTTTTAAAAGTAATAGTGTTGAAATTGTATTTGTACCAGGCTTCTTGGATGAGCATACCTGTATTTCCCTAGAAGCAGACAAGAAAACAAACGTTTTAAGGAGACACATGTGACTGAATCGATTGTTCCTTCCTTACACAGGTGTCGTAATAGGATGAAAGGAATCCAGTATTTCTTTGCCCTGTAAAGATTGATTGCTCTTTAAACATTGAGATATTCCTTCTGCATTGCACTAAATTTTAAATAACTTTTGGGTGATACCTGTGCATGTGCTTTTCTTATACTTACTGTGAAGTAATACACTGGCTTGTTAGGACTAGAGTGTAGAAGGTTAATGGCTTTGAGTTGAGGGCAGCTTTCATGCTGAACTACAGATATGTCCTTCTTAGTTTCTTGTTGTCAGTGAGGATTATTAGTAGCACAGGGAAGCTGTAGTCTGTCTCGATAATGTAAATTGTAATACTGTGGATATCTCCCCATTTACCAGTGGTGCACCTAAGGTTGCTTTGCTGCTGCCAACGGTGTCACTTACATGTTGCAGGTGCATAAACTCCAGTTTTAAACACCCTTTAAGGTCTGTTTCCAGGCTTCTTTTGTATCTCAGCTTCCTATCTTTCTAAAGCAACTTAGAAGGGAGCTTTTATAGCAATCTGAAAGCCTGATGATAATGCCATCTTCACGTTCACTAGCCTGAACAATGCATGAGGAAGTGGAACTGCTGCATCTCAAATGGAAGTGGGAACTGACTTGTCTTCCTTGAGCTCACAAAAGTGTGGCTGAGCATTTCCTAAAGAAACCCTCAAGTTAGAGATGCCTGCTTTCTAGAGAAATTAAATAGAAGTGCAAATAGCTGTAGTTAGTTTTCCAGGCAAAGTGGTTTTGCCTCCAGTTCTGTTGTGGATGGATGCAAGAGGTTGCTTTTATACTTTCCACTGAGAAATTTCTTTCCCGTCTCATTTCCTTATCATGTATGTGTGCACTTTTGCCATCACTGAATGCTTGGTATGATTGTATCTGTGAACTAGCACATTCTGAGGCTTGTTTGTTACCTGTATGCTTTGCCACATCCCATTATGCAAGGTGCCAGCATCAACCTGATCACTCTTCCCTTGTAGAGATGTGTATTCCAGCACAGTAAGAATTGTTAATAGCATTGTAAGCACAGTGAGGGGTTAAGATGAGGCAACCAGGGAAGAACTGATATTCTACACATGGGAAAGAAAGAAATTAATTTATTAAAGTGCTGATCACATTTACTGTTTGGATATTTTTTTTTTCTTTTTTTCTCCCAATGCCTTGTTGACCGGTTTCTGAGCTCTCTTGGGGACAAAAAGGTTGTGCTCAGCAGCATCACGTCTGAGGCAGTCACACTGAGCCACGTAAGGTCACAGACAGTCAGGGCTCCATTAACCTTTATTCTGTGCCGTTTGGCACAACTGCACTGTTAAGTAAACTGTTAATTTCTGTGCAAGTGTATTTAAACTCCACCAGCCAAGAAAAGAAAGGTACTGTCTACTTGGCATTTGACATGGTTGGGTTTTAACATTCTTAGTCTAATTGTTACCAGACAGATAACACATTGCCTGTAGAGAATGTGGTCTATGGTTTTAGAAATCATAGAAGGCTAATTACTGGGACGGAATAGTTGGAGGAAGAAAAGAAGGAGGTCAGTTATGCTGTATTAAACTGTTACTACTGAATGACCTCACTGCACTGCTGCTAATTAGCTGAATGATTTGCTGGAGCTATGCAGGGTTCTTCTACACATTTAATTGTAGGTTTTCTAGCAAGTTGCTAAGCACTTGCAAAAGTAACTCTCTGAAAGGGGTAGTTGGCAAGCTTTTTCTCCCCACATGAAGGAGATGCTTTCAGAGAAAGCTTCAAGGTCATCTTTAGAAATACAGTACTAGGGAAAAGGCAGAGTTGTACCCAGTGAGCACTTGAAAGAAGTGCATCATTCACTGATACAATCTGTTGATGTACAGGGATGAAAAACATAGTATGCTGCTTGTACATTTGTAGGAAAAACATGGAAGTAGTATTTTGCCAGAATTCCTACTTCTGTTATAAAATGCCATCCACAGTGCTGTGAAAGTGAAGAGCTTTTCTTTGCTAAGCAGGTCTTGGGCTTATTATTTGTGCCTATTAGTTTGAGAAGAGGGATTTTGCTCCTACTGTATTTAGCATATTTTTTTTGATCTCTTCCCTCCAAGACATAATTCATTCTACAGAACCATGGTCTGCGGTTCTTGTAAAAAACTGCTGGTATGGGTAAGCGTAAGTGTGATTGATTTCCCCTGAGGTCAGGTAAACAATAGTGGATTACAGCTGAAATTGGCAGTTGACATTTTCAGGATCTTGTGCTAGGTGGTGCAGAGTCCGTCCTTCCAAGAATATTGGCCAGCCATGGGATATTTCTCAGTTACATTATTGGCTCTGTCACATGGCTGACGTTGTTCTAGGGGGTCTTTCAGTGCCTCTATAGACAATTCAACCATAAAGTTGTGTATTTTTGAGAACCTTGACTAATGCTTTTGATAACCTTGGGTGAGAGTTGCTATAAAGTCTTAGACTGTAAGATAATTCTGGAATAGTGAAATAGAAAAATGTAACTGATAGAGGATGTGATCTGACTATCTAAGATGCTGGTGTTCTTGTTTGTCTGTGATACACAAAGCTTGAGTGCCCAGAGCTCTGACCTGACGTTTCAAGAAGTTGCTAAGAAATGCCTATGGTTCATATAAACGTTGATGATTTGGACTGGGGTCTGCAGCTGAGTTAAAAATAACCCAAACATGTTTATAGTTTCATCTGAATGATAAGAACTGCTCAACAGAAAACCTGCCAGTGATCTCATACAGATAATCTATTTTTAGATGAGATAAGAATGCAAAAATTAGAGGCTGGGAAGTAGAGGAATGACAATGGGTTTACTCAGAGGTATGGCTTACGTGCAGAATAACACTATTGGGATATTAATAGACTTTGGCCAGTTATGAATTGTGGTCGTGTAAGAAAAAGGGAGATAGAGTAGGCTTGTAGAACAAGGGTTATGCACTTCTACCAAAATCAGGAAGCAGTAGAAATAAACTTGTTAAAGGTTCACAGATACTGATAAATAGGAGGAGAAGGCAGTGCTGCTATGGCAGCAGCTTTTTATAGACACTGCCAAGTTAGATAAGTAAGACTTCTGCAAATAGGAGAATTACCCTGCCTTGGGGAATGGGTTTAAATGTGCCAACGTATTTGAGCAATTAAAAGAATGTTTCAAGAAAAGGTGTCTAAAGAGTTAGGAACATGCTGTGAACAGTATCCATTTCTTGTAAACAGAGGTTTCTGAGTCTTTGTGTCAATACAGAGTACTGTGAAATACTGTGAAGAGAGAATCCAATCTGAGTTCAAAATGTAAGTTGTGAAGAAGCTGGATGGACAGCAGCTTAGAAAACAGTGTGATAGAATAGACTGGACTGCAAAACAGGTTCCACCCAGCTCAGGAAAAAGCATTCTGCTTTTGTTGTTTCCTTAACCCATGTTCAGAAAGGAAGCAAAGACTATCCAGCAGAAATCCAAGTTGAGAACATAGGAGGCGAGTGATATAGCAGATTCCCTTCTCTTACCTGAAGCTCAGGAAAGAAATGGAAGCGAGTTAAAAGCCGTGCCAGAGTCAGAGCATAAAATAGCCCTAAGTAAGTGTGGATGGATGAAGACTGAAAGCCTCAGGTCAAAATAAATGGCAAGGCAGATTAATTGTTTAGGTACAGAAGTGACAGGAAGACAACTAGGAAAACTGTGTGCCTAACTCCTTGAGAAAAGTGATCAGAAGACATCAGATTCTGTTTTTTTCTGATACCAGAAGATGTTGTCAAAAGGCCTGATACTGTTTTCCAGGTGCTGGAAGAAAAGCCAGTAAGGAAAACTTTAAGTGATCACATGGGTAAGTGCTGCAGTAGAGGTCAGAGAGATGGTACAGCTTTTCATGGCAGTCTTGAAAATCAAACCCAGAATTATTAGTGTTGGGTGGAGTGCTTTAGTTGATTCTTTCTCCTCTTGAGGAGAGAGACCAACTATATGGTCTCTGGAAGGTCTCTAGTTCTGTATTTATGATACATGAATATATGACATTTTTGTCCTTACAGGAAAAAGAGCTGTAGAGAAAGATAGCGCCAGCGATGATGAACCAAATGAATATGACCTTGATGACAGCTTTATAGATGATGAGGAAGAGGAGTGTGACCCTACTGATGAAGACTCTGACTGGGAGCCAAGTTCAGAAGACAAGGATAATGAAGATGTTGAAACACTTTTGCAAGAAGCACGTAGATTTGTTAAGACCAAAATATAGCTGCACAGAACAACATTACGTGTCTGATCTGGTTGTGTTAAAACATGGATGCGCAAGGACAGGAACTGCTTTGAAAACTGGTTTTTCCTCAGTAATGTAGGCCCTACAGAAAGATTTTAATGGGGGTGAGGGGATTCAGCAAAGCCTTTTGTTTCCATATGTATTATTTTGTTGGGGTTTTCTGTTTCATTAAGTGGTAGAGCCAGAGGACTGAGCTCTGAAAGTTTTTTTTTCCCCCTCATCTATTTCTTTTGCAACACCATTGGTGTCTTTTAGTTTGAAAGGTTGTTAATGCTTCACCTTCCTATACTTAAAAGAAACATTTGCATTAGGAAAGCCTTTTATTTTGCTGAAATGCAATATATATATATATATACATATATATATATACGCACACTGTATTGAATGAAGAGGAGTTATGCTTCACATCTGCAGTATTGCAGACCTACTTGGCCATTGCTAGGGAATCTGTAAACCAGTTTTTTAATGTTCTTTTAAGTTGGTGCAGTCTTAAACTTCATTATTCTGCTCCTAGCTTTCCTCTTAGGTGTCATTTCTTTGATTCTCTTAATGTACAGTAGTTAAATACAGGTTGTTTAAAGAGGCACTTGAGAACAGTATCTCAGTGTATTGAACCCCTCGGTTGTCTCCACAACAACTGGTGTATTTGTTCTCGTTACAGCAGTATCATTTGCTGTGCCTGTACATCACTGGAATTATGTTCAATTCACAACAAATCCAAAGTCTTGGTGACTGTATTTTTGCACAATTAAACTTGTACCACAGTGTGGGAAATACCTATGACTCTGATTTCTAAAGACTTTGTTGGAAGCTGCCGTCAGTGTATTTACAACTTTCCTGAGCTTTCAGAAAAGTAAGTTTAAAAAGTTCTAGAATGTTCCAGGACAGATGTCTGGAGCCATGTGAATTTGGCGCTTGTTTTTGGACACAATCCTGAAATTCAGCAGGGTAAGCATTCTTGTGTGGCTTTGTTCCCCTGTGAACATCTGCTCTATCATGGTTGGAGACAGACGTCCAAATACACTCAAGCTTTTCAGTTGGGTGGCAAAACGTTCTCTGTTGACATTAGATGTCCGTTGCTGCTAGCTGGTGCAGGGTTGCTTCAGGATACTGCATTGTCTTTGCCAATTGTGTGTGAGAACTGTCACTCAAACGTTTCAGGTATCAAAAATATAAACGTTCATGATGGGCAACTGTTTCAGATTTGAAGAACATCTGCTTCTGTTTGGCCATCAGTATACTGCTTACTAAAGCTTTTGCATACAGAAAGAATCTAATAGGTGTTTTTCACAATGTCTGATGGTTTCTGTGACCATAACCTTCCTCAAGCTGGAGCATTCTCTAACATAGCATTATTTTGTGAATGGCTATTTAAACTGCTCTCAGGAGCTACTATCCTTTACTTTTAAAAGTTGAAATAGCCTCTTTTATCACTGAAGGCTCACAGATACATATCACAAAAAAAAAAGCAAATTTAGAAGTAATTCTTGGTTTTGCATATTTGATCAAGTCTTATTATTGATACACTGGGAAAGTCAAAGCTGGAATGTAGCTGCTCTATACTGGTAGGTTGAAGCTATCTCTGTTAAAGCATATTTTCCAGTTGTTGTATTATTTCCTTAATAGCAGGATATATTTTTATTCTTCTGAAGGGCTGACCTTGTGTCTCCAGGATACTGGTGTATTGATGGACCCTACTCTGTTTGAGGTGCAGATGAGACTACCCAGACACTCGTATGTCAAGTTACTGAATATTTTTTCAGTGAATCAGGAGCATGCTCAGAGGGTTGGATCACCTCTCCTGCAAAGACAGGCTGAGAGAGCTGGGCTTGTTCAGCTGGGAGAACAGAAGCCTCTGGGGAGACCTTACACTAGCCTTCCACTACCTAAAGGGGACCTGCAAGAAATCTGTGGAGGGACTTTTTACAAGGGCATATGGTGGCAGGACAAGGGGGAATGGCTTTAAACTGACAGAGGGGAGATTGAAATTAGGAAATAGGAAGAAATTCTTTACTATGAGGGTGTTGAGGCGCTGGCACAGGATGCCCAGAGAAGCTGTGGCTGCCCCATCCCTGGCAGTGTTCAAGGCCAGTCTGGACAGGGCTTGGAGCAACCTGCTCTAGTGGAAGGAGTCCCTGCTTGTGGCATGGGGTTAGAACTGGATGATCCAGAGGGACCCGGACAAGCTTGGGAAACGGGCCCATGAGAACCTCATGAGGCTCCACAGAGCCAAGTGCTGGGTCCTGCAACTGGGTCAGGCCGTACCTGCGAAGGATGGGTGTACCACTGGGTGTTTGAGGTGTGAGGTTCCTGAGTTCAGAGGCTAAGCCCTGGAGTCAGAAGCTGGGACCATGAGTGCTGCCTGTTTCCACCTGAACAGAGATCATTGCAGCCCCACCTTGGCAGTGGGAAACTGGCAGAGTTGGTATGGCTGTAGCATTGACGTAAGAGGCAGATGGCAAGGTTTATAGGTGCAAGCACATTCAAATCCTCTTCTTCAGAGTGAATTATTTGTGCGGAATAAGTAAGGCCTGGCCCATTCACTGAGTTCCACCCACGGGTGGGGTTTATGGGGCAGAACCAGGGCAAGGCTTCGTGCTTGGGGAGCTGCAGTTGTCCTGTGCTGGGCATGAGGAGAAGGGTCCTGGCCTGGGAAATACCCATGGCCATGTACATCCCCTACCCCAAGCCAAGCAGGAGCTGCCTGAGTGGGCTTAAATGTGTTGCCACCCAGCTTTGTGGTGCTTGACTGAAAAGCTGGTGTGGAGTCTTCATTTCGGAGCCATGTTGCAAATGTGCTTCTGCTTGTGGTCTGGTTTCTGTCATTCTTCCCTCCCTGCTGCTTGCAGGGGGAGGAGGTGGCTCACTTCCAGAGAGGTCTCCCCCCCCTTGTATGTGTCAAAGTCCTGAGGGTCTAGGCTGAAATGCACTGGGTTGCTCACTATTTTCCCTCCAAGTACCCATTTGCCGACTTTGCTGGTGCGTGACGTTTGGCAGCCCAGACGTGAATCTCTGGAATGGGCTGTAGTAACGCAGCTTGTCTCTTGCAGAACCTTCTGCTGAGCTTGGAATGAAGATGAGGGGACTGGGGCAGGCTGGTTACCAAGTCAGCTTCTCTGATGTATACACCTGGGACCAGCTCTTTGCTAACTTTCCAGCTGTGGGTAAGAAACTCAAGTTGCAAAGGAGTATTCTGAAGGTGAAAAGCTGAACTGAACTGAAATTTGGTAGAAGCGAATACCTTGTGTAGGTGACACCTGGTCCAGATTTCACAAACTAGTGCAGTGATACCATGTGTTCATGCTGTGATGTGGCTGCTGCTGCCTTGCTTGTCCAAGCCAGATGTTCAGTTCCTTTAGCTGACTGAAAGCCAAGCGTAGCCTTTCTCCCTCCTTGCTTTTCCTAGGTGCCTCCCAAGTACCAGTTCCTGATACCTCCCTGTGTCAGGAGTGTCTGTATCTGATAGGTCTGTTTGTACCCAGCTATGTGAAATGGGGACATAGCTCCTTTCTCACCGTTCTCTCTGTCATCGTTTTTGTTGTGATTGCTTGAACGCACATGAAATCTCAGATTACTTGTGTTTTTTTTTAGTATTTTTGTGGCAATTAGAACTTGCCACATTCAATTGTGAAATTCAGTCAGTTTAACTAACTGATTAGTTAATGTGAATTGAGTTTAAAATGAATAAATTTTCAATGGCATTTAATTTTTCTGTACCCCTCTTCCCTCTTAATAGTTTATTCTTACTATCCTGCTGTAAGGATCCACGATGCTCTGGGGACACAGTTGAAGCACACAAAGCTTCTGGGGCTGGTGCACATTCATGGACCATAGACATACTTTCCTTTTCAGAAAGCAGTGTGATGGCCTTATGCAGGAGTGTTTGTTTTTGTAGTTCTTGCAGCTTTTGTTGTGTCTTTTCTCACCAGTGTCTTCCCACTGGGATGCTGATGCCCTGAACCTCTTGGCCAGGGACCCAAACCTGCCTCTCTATGCACCTCTCTCTGCCTCTTTCTCTCTTGTCTGGAGGTTTTAACCAGCCACATGCAGCTCTCTCAGGTGCAACTGCCTTGATTTTAGCAAGATTCAGCAGAAATGATGGTTGCACCTACTTTTTCCTAGGTGTGTATAGTGCCAGTCCCTGACACTTCCCATCTGTCTGACAGGTCTGTTTGCACCAAGCCACAAAAAAGGAAATTTAGCAGAGCTGCAGGTTATCATAGAATGCCCTTTGATTTGAAAAACACTCCTGTTTGCTCAAAAGTGAGCAACGTTCAACACAATAATACCTTCCACTTGACACATTTCATGAAATTTCATCTATATTACTAGATCAACCTGTGGCTCAAAGTTTATTGCATTCTTGAAGGGTAATCTTTTCCTTCCTCTGTCTTCCCAAAGTTAATGCACTTGGTAGGGTGAAGGGATTCCCCTTTCTCCTTGGTAAGTACAGTGTTAGATCTGGTGCTTGTGGTAGCATCTCTCAAAGGGGAAAAAGCAAGCAAGAATAATTTGTTACCACTGGGGAGGCCAGTAGCAAGGTTTGCAGTTGTTGTGTATCTTCACAGAGCAATATTGCACCTGATTGGTGCTGAGAGTGCTGCCCTGGGGAAACATAGAATCATAGAATGATTTGGGTTGAAAGGCACCTTAAAGCTCATGTAGTTCTAACGCCCCTGCCATGGGCAGGGAAACCTTCCACTAGACCAGGTTGTTCAAAGCCCCGTCCAGCCTGGACTTGCACACTTCCAAGGATGTTAAGACTTCATGGTGTTTCATTCTCTAGTTACCTGCATCTGATTTGTAATTGGAAAATAATGTCTTGTCTGCTTCATCTGCCAGTCCCCTCAGGACCGACGGATGCATCTTATCAGGTTCCATGACTTGTGGTTCCCTAGATGGTCTTGAACCTGATCTCCTATAGTGGGTGGTTCTTCATTCTCATTCTTATATAGATCTATAAAGTGTATCTTGTTCAACTAGTAGAACATGCATTGATCATGCTGGCTCAGCTTTGCTATTCCTTCAACTTCAAAGAATCCGGTTTTCTAGCACAGTCCCTTACATACAAAATTCTAAAGCCTACTTAGGAGGACATGAGTAGTTCTGAACTCATTTTCCATAGAATTTGTACCACTAACAGAGAAGCCATCCCATTTTTCTTCCAGCCTGTTACCTCAGTACTGTCCCCCGAAGGAGGGGGGTTTGGCTCTTGTTCCATGTGGTAATTCATGCAAATACAGAAGATGAAATTGCAGAAAGAGATGTTTTTAAAATGAAGGGGGAAGGTTTGACCATCAAGCTTTTAAAATGTGGAAAACCTTGTTTTCGTATCTATGATTTATCATTTTGAAATGGGGAACTTAGAATAAAAATAATTCCAAAACTGTGGCAACACTAGAGAATCTATTGTTTAGTGATCACAGCTGGCTCAAGTCTTTTCAGCTCAGTAAACTTTCCTGCTTTTCTGTTGGTGTATGTGGCACTCTCTACTTCAGGCATAGTCGGGTCTGCAGTGCAAGCAGAGTTCTCCCTTGCATGCTGAGTCAAGGGCACCCTGTTTCTGGGTCAGCAGCCCATGTTTCTCAAGGAAGGATCCTGTGGTCACAGGATCTAAAGCCTTGCCTGTGTCACCAGCCTGATGGTGTGAAGCAGCAGGATGTAGTCCTGTTTTCCTCTTCCTGAGGAGAATACTACCAGGGCCTGGGGCTCTTACCTCTGAATAGTGGTTGGTGTCATTGGTGTCCATGTGGATGCCTGGAAGATAGGTGGGGGAATA